TTCCTTTAAAATACTTATTTTATAAGGTTGAAAAGGATTATTTATATAATCTTGTGTTTGAAGTCTGTCATGCCACCAGGGTGAGGATGTATCTGTTACAACCGTCACCGGGCCTACTACATGCTTGGCATATAGGAAGCACTCTATACATATCTGCTTTCTAATTTATTGAATTCAAAGACTATTCATTAAAATTAAACTATTTTTAGAGGTAATTTTTTTTTTTAAGATTTTAGTTATTTATTACAGAGGGTAGGGGAGAAGGGAAAAGCAGAGGGAGAAGGACAAGCAGACTCCATGCTGAGCACAGAACCCAACATGGGGCTCAATCTTAGGACCCTGAGATCATGACCTGACCTGAATGCAAGAGTTGGATGCTTAACCTATTGAGCTACCCAGGCACCCCTAAAGGCAATTCTTATAACATATGTATATCTCTTTGCAAGTTTAATCATGTGTGATAACTCATTGATTTTTTAAAATTATTTTTTAACAATTTACTTAGAAAAAGTTTCAAGCTTACAAAGAAGTTACAAGAATAAAAATAGAACACTGGAGTACCTTTTATCTGTATTTAATTTTAACTAATCTGTTGACATTTAACTTCACACATTAAGAATCAGTTATTTTGGGTGATTTTGGTCTCTTCCCAAAAAGATGATGTACATACCAAACATGTGGTATAAACATATTATTCAAGACACCGAGGGGAAATATGATTATGTCTGAGTTTTAGGATCTCGAATCTCCATAATTTGTAATGTAAAAATATGCATATTGTAAAGAACTGAATATATATTGAGCTCACACAGGATATATACAGGTGTACAATGGGGTACAATACTGTGCAACAAGGTAGTGTATTTATTTACTTTAAAATATTTTATTTATTTATTCATGAGAGACATAGAGAAAGAGGCAGAGTCATAGGCAGAGGGAGAAGCAGGCTCATGTGGGACTCAATCCTGGGACTCCAGGACCACAACCTGAGTCAAAGGCAGACGCTCAACTGCTGAGCCACCCAGGCGTCCCTCGAGGTAATTTACTGACACTGATGCTATTCTAAATATTTTATTCCAAATGTTACCTTCAGAAGCAGAAGATAAAGGCTGGCGTAGGTTACATTTACTCAAAGCATGATGCATTACCATATATAAGGAAATTGCAAAGACTCTTACCAGCACTTTGCATGCTCATCCTGTCTTTCAGGAGTACATCTCCAAGAATTTGGCGATAAAATATCAACAAATGAATGGTACACATACTTCCAATTAATGTTTCTGGCAGTAAACTGTTAAAGAAGAAAAATATGTATTCATTAAACAATTCCCTACAATCTCACCTACATTGTTTTTTTAAATATATACTTATACTACTTTAATGAACAGTTCCAAGTTTTGCTTCATTATTGAAAAAAAGTTTTACAGTTTTAAAGAAAATTCCCACTATAAGTTGCCTACAGTAAGCCTCAGAAAACTACTATTTCTATGTGTACACTTTCAAATCTGAACTCTGTTTTGTCATTCTTGTGTTTCCATTTTAGGGCATTCACCCATGTTATATGTTAAGTAGAGAAGAAAAGTCACCAATTACATGTTTGGGGAAGAAGGGGATTAGTCAGCTACCAGTTTTGACAAAGCCTTGTAGCCACTCCTCCTGATGTGATGAATGAAAAAGGACACAGGAGGAGTTCAGACTGTTCTGTGGTGCCTGGTGGAATGTGGGAGGGGTGTGGCAGACCTGGACTGAATTCTGACTTTGCTTCTTCCTAGCTATGTGGCTTAGGGTTAATTATTGTCCTTTTGTTTTGGTTTCCTCATTTTAGAATGCAGAGAGTAATACCTCTGTTTCAGAAGCTTACTAAAAAAGGATTAAATTGAGGTAAGTGTGAAGTACTTAATGTAATGTCTGGTCCATAGTAAGGGCTCAAAAAACAAAAATAAAAATTCAATATTGATGGTAAGTTTGTATCAGTTTAAAATAGATTCCTATAACTTTAAGATATTATATGGAATCCCCATGATAACCACAAAGAAAAAAATCTATAGAATATACACAAAGGAAATGAAAAAGGAATCAAAATGTGCCACTACAAAAAAATTAATCAAACAAAAAAATAAAAATATATTAAAAAAGGAAGGCATTAAGGGAGGAAATGAGGCATAGAAAAGTCCCCCAGAAGATGTACAGAAAACAAATCACAAAATGGCAGTACTAAACATTCCCTATCAGTGATTACTTTAAAAATAAAAGGATTAAACTCCCCAGTCAAAAGATACAGAATGAGCAGAAAAAATAGGATCTAACTATATTCTATCTACAAGAGACTCACTTTAGATCTATGGACACTCATGGGTTGAAAATAAAAGGACAAAGATACTCCATGCAAATAGTAAACAAAAGAGAGCAGGGGTGGCTATCTTAATAGCAGACAAAACAGACTTTAAGTTAAAAAAAAGTGTTAAAAAGACAAAGAAAGATATTATATAATGATAAAAGGGTCAATGCACCAAGAAGATATAAAGATTATAACATACACAACAAATATTAGAGATACTAAGTATATGAAGCAAACATCAACAAAACTGAAGAGAGAAATACACAGATCTACAATCATAGTAGGAGAATCTAATACACCACTTTTAATAAAGAACAACCAGACAAAAAATAAATAAGGTAATAGAAGACTGTAGACCAACTGTAACTAAAGAAATATACAGAACACTTCACTCAGTTAATAGCAGAATACACATTTTTCTCAAGTGTGCATGGGATATTTTCCAGGATAGATCATATATTAGGCTACAACACCAGTCTTAATAATTTAAAAGACTAAAGTCATACAAAGTATATTTTTTGATCACAAGTGAATGAAATTAGAAATCAACAGAAGAAAAAATAGAAAATTCACAAATATGTAGAGATTAAACATCACACTCTTAAGCAATCAATGGCTCAAAGAGGAACTCATAAGGAAAATTAGAAAATATCTGGAGACAAGTAAAATGAAAGCATAACATACCAAAACTCATGGAATACAGTGAAAGCACTGCTAAGGAGTAGTTTATAGCTATAAATGCTTAAATTAATAAAGAAGAAAGATCTCAAATCAACCACCTAACTTTGAATCTTAAGGAACTAGGAAAGAAAAAAAAACAAATGAACCTAAATATAGCAAAAGGAAAGAAATAATAAAGAGTAGAGCAGGGATGAGCAAAATAACAGAAAACAACATACAAAGTCAATGAAAGCATGAGTTGGTTCTTTGCAAAGATCAACAAAATCAATACTGTTAGCAAGAGGACAAAGAGAAAAGAGAAAAGATTCAAGTTATAAAATCAGAAATGAAGAGAGATGCTACTACTCATTTTACAAAAATACAAAAAGAATTGCAGACAGAACTATGAATAATTATATATCCACAGGTTGGATAATCTAGATGAAATGGACAAATTCCTAGAAACACACAACCTACCAAGGCTGAATCAGGAATAAATAGAAAATCTGAATAGACATAACTAGTAAGGAGATTGAATCAATAATCAAAGACTTTCCAATGAATAAAATGCCAGGACCAGATGGCTTCACTGGTAAATTCTATCAAATATCTAAAAAATTAATATCTATCCTTTTCAAACTCTTCCATAAAATTGAAAAGGAAGGATTACTTCCACAATCATTCTCTAAGACCAGCATTATACTGTTATTGAAGCCAAAGACACACAAAACTACAGATCAATATCCCTGATGAATATAGATGCAAAAATCCTCAACAGAAACTATCAAACAGAATTCCACAGCACATTAAAAGGTTTATACACTATGAACAAGTGGGATTTATTCCTAGAATGCAAGGATGGTTCAACATTACAAAAATCCATGTGATATACTACATTAACAGAATGAAGGAAAAAAAAAAAACCCATAGGATCTTCTCAACTGATGCTGAAAAGAATTTGAGGGATTCCTGCATTGCTCAGCAGGTTGAGTGTCTGCCTTTGGCTCAGGGTGTGATCCCAGAGTCCCGGAATCAAGTCCCACATTGGGCTCCCTGCATGGAGCCTGCTTCTCCCTCTGCCTATGTTTCTGCCTCTCTCCCTGTCTCTCATGAATAAATAAATAAAATCTTTTAAAAAGAAAAGAATTTGACAAAATTCAATACCTTTTCATAATAAAAACACTCAACAATCCTAGGAATAGAAGAAAACTACTTCCACATGATAAAGACCATATATGAAAATCCCACAGCTAACATCATATTCAATGGTGAAAGAGCACAACCTTTTTCTCTAAGATCAGAAACAAGACAAGGATGCCTGTTTTCACCATTTGTGTTCAACATAGTACTAGAAGTCCTAGCCAGAGCCCCAAGCAAGAAAAAGGAGCAAAAGGCATCCAAATTGGAAAAGACAAGAAAAATTATCTCTGTTCACAGACAACATGGTTTTATATGTAGAAAACCCTAAAGCTTCCACAAAAAAACAGTTTAAATAGACAAATTCAACAAAGTTGTAGGATATAAAATCAACATACAAAAATTAGTCACGGAGACACCTGGGTGGCTCAGCGGTTGAGCGCCTGCCTTCGGCCCAGAGCTTGCTCCTGGAGTCCCGGGATCGAGTCCCATATTGGGCTCCTTGCGGGGAGCCTGCTTTTCCCTCTGCCTGTATCTCTGCCCCTCTCTCTCTCTGTGTCGCTCATGAATAAATAAATAAAATCTTTTAAAAAAATTAGTCATGTTTCTATACATTAACAATGAACAGTTTGAAAAGAAATTAAAACCAATTTCATATACAATAGCATCAAAGATAAAATATTTATAAAAATAGAAATAAAATTTCAAAAATAATCTGAAACATGACAAGTGGGTGCTTTAAAATCCTCACATGACACACACTAAGTGCCTACTGTCTACTGGGATATATTGAGCATAAGAGCTAATGTTAAAAGATACTCAAGGAAATGTCTTGAATCATTTTATTTTTTTATTTTTATTTTTTTATGGTAGTTAATTTTATTTGTTCAAGGCTCATATTGCAAGCATTAAACCAAGCATGGGCTTTGATTCTGTGAGCCCAGATTCACATATTTAGGAAGATAAAAGCAAACTGTGATCCATGTATATGGATGAAAAACTAAAGGCTCACAGTTAATCACATCATGGTTTTAAATTTCTACAGCCTAGAAGCCAGAAGTCACAGATCTTTTCGGTCTTTCTGGATATCCCACAAGGTATCTGCACTTTTCTTGAGCTGGGCAACCTCATCATCCTTCAGCTTCTGATTGATCACACTGGTTAAGCCCCGAGTGTTCAGAATACACGGAAGACTCAGGAAGACTTTGTTCTCAATACCATACATGCCCTTCACCATTGTTGACACTGGATGAATCCTGGAGAGATTTTTCAATGGGAATTCAATGAGATCAGCCACACTTAATCCAATAGCCCAGTTGGTATATCCTTTTAGCTTGATGACTTTTAACCACCATCTTATGCACTTCCTTCCAATTTTCACTGTCGTCTGTTCCCATTTCTGGATTCAGTTCCTGAAGAGAAACACCTGCCACATTCACTCCACTCCACACAGCCACACTTGAGTCACCATGTTCTCCCAAAATCTTTCCATGGCAGCTGCTGGGATGAATGCCAAGTTTTTCAGCCATAAGATAGCGAAATCTAGCAGAATCCAGATTACACCCACTTCCAATGACATGGTGCTTGGGTAGTCTACTTAGGTTCCAGGTAACATATGTAAGAATATCCACTGGGTTGGAAACCACAATTATGATACAATCAGGACTGTACTTGACTATCTGAGGAATAATGAATTTGAAGACATTAACATTCCTTTGCACCAGATTGAGGTGGCTCTCTCCCTCCTGCTGGAGGACTCCTGCAGTCACCACCACAATCTTAGAATTGGCAGTCACAGAGTAATCTTTATCTGCCACAATTTTAGGTGTCTGTAGAAACAAGCTCCCATGCTGTAGATCCATCATTTCTCCTTTGAGTTTATCTTCTAAAACATCCACAAGGGCAAGTTCATTAGCCAGAGACTTTCCCAGAATGCTGATGGCACATGCCATACCAACTTGTCCAACACCCACTACAGTGATCTTATTGTTTGGGATTGCAGCCTCTTCTTCTGCAACTGGTGCAATCAGTTTTTCCTTAAGAGTTGCCATTGTGCCCTGAGACCAGCAGCTGTAAGGGTCACGCGAAGGAGACCAGGTTAGCTGTGCGCATCTCCTCCGGCGCAGGATCCGCAGGGAGAGAGCTCTTGAATCATTTTAAATATACATTTTCTAAACATAAGAAATCTTGAAAACCTTGCAAACAATGTCCTTTATCAAGGAGGCAAATATCTTTGGGCTAAGAAAAACCACCAAAAGTTTAAAAAGAGACTTTTTTTTTAAAGATTTTATTTACTTATTCATGAGAGACACAGAGAGAGACAGAGAGAGGCAGAGACATAGGCAGAGGGAGAAGCAAGCTCCATGCAGGGAGCCCGACGAGGGACTTGATCCCGATCCCGGGTCTCCAGGATCACACCCTCGACTGAAGGCAGCGCTAAACCACTGAGCCACCCAGGGGGCCCGAGAGACTTTAACTTTTGTAAATTAATCCTTTACTTTAATTTCTAGAATAAGTATTTTAGAAGGGAACATTAGTCACAGAGGTAGAGTTCAGGTTTCCAGCCTGTTGGAAGTAAATAGAATGAATGTAATGCCAATGGTGGTGGAGGAGCAATGGATACCCCAGGGGTAGGTTCATGGAATTTAGTAAGTATCCTTGACCACTTCCTAATCAACTCTTGCATTTCTAGAAATATCCAAAAATGCAAGACAGGTTCTCTTCCATTCATATATGGCATTTGGTACACAAAGTTAGAAATCATTGTTTTCTAATCCGGCTACAATGCTAGTCTTGTGTCTGATCTGGATTTCAAAGACTAGTTCCAGAGGACCATGTAAGCTGCCTTGATGCTGCCACATGCCTTCTTGGTGTTCAGCTGCAATTCCTAAGGCTTGTTCCACATCCTGTCCTCTGGTCTATGGCTCATTTGGGCAGTGTTTCGGCTGCATGCCCAAACCATGTCTCATGCTGAAGAACAGCCATTGATTTTGCTAGAGGAAGGGGTGTAACCTTCCTTTCATTTTTTCCTCACCTCTCATGGACCCGCCTGCTCTATCTGGCTGGCATCACTGCCAGCCTGTGGTAGAGGCCTTCGTTCCTCCCACAGTGTAGGCACTCCTTTCCTTCTGGCACTTCCCCATAACATGAGGCAGTACAGCTGCACTTTATTAGTTTTCTTTAGGGAAATCTTCTGATTTTCTCAAACTCAAGAAGACCAGAAAGCTCTGAGCTACTGAGATAGGCTATGCTGAAGAAGTAAAAATATACATCTTTCTGAACTCACAGATACACCAGCAAACTCTGATGGCAGAAGTGCAATGAACAGAATCTTGTAATCATGGGCCCCAGGCTAGTAACACTATTACCTCATTTATTTTTAGAAATAATACAATGGAAGTGAAAGAGAAAAAGCAAGCTAGGATACATCAAAAAAGCAAAGACAAATAAACAAGTTTATAGCAAATTTATACACATACATATAGCCTACTTCTACAGACCAGTATTTCTTGGTATCTGTGCTGAACTAATACACTGAGAGTCGTCAAAATTCAGAGCCTTTCAGGGGCTTAAGAGCATGCCGTCGGCCAAATCATATCAAGGTAAAAAAAAAAAAAAAAAAAAAAAAACATTGAAAAATAGCTCCAAAATTAGAAAGGCAAGTCTCGGTGAAACTGAAGGATTCTGTGTTCCCTTATTTGCCTCATGCCAAGAGGGTCACCATGATTACAACTGTCTCCACAAAAGAAGTCCCATGGGCAGGATTCTGGTGCTGTTTCTTTAGTAAAGGAGACAAACTGGGGCACCTGGGTGGCTCAGTCAGTTAAGCACCTGCCTTGGGTTCAGGTCATGGTCCCAGGATCCAGCCCCTCATTGGGCTCCTTGCTCACCAAGTAATTTACTTCTCCTTCTCCCTCTACCCCTCCCCTCCAACTCATTTTCTTTCTCTGTCTTAAATAAATAAATCTTAAAAAAAAAAATAAAGGAGACAAGTCTACACGGATTAATTTGCATTTTTGCAGGTCTTCAGACATCCAAAGGCATACACACGTGAGACTGCTGGTTGGTCTTCACACTGCAAGGGCAGTGTGAAGCCAGCTAGCACGGGCACTGGGTAAAAATGGGTGGGAAGGCAAACTCTCACTGGGCTTCCCATCCTTGGGTCTGTACACATTGTTGTATGTCCCTTGGCATAATGTTAAAAGCCTCTGTCCTTTCTTCTTCAAGCAGAGGATTCTGACCAAAAAAAAGGTGAAGTTCTTAAGCAAGGGAGGGTGGGGAGAGAGGTGGAATGTACTTTTGAAGGAAGCAGTCAGGGGAGGAGAGGGGGCTGAGATGGATCAGTCCTGTCTCAGTCTCTACCCTCCAGGGTGTGCAGGCTCAGGGCAGAGATACCCAAAAGTGCCCATGCTGGTGCCCAGCCTCTCACTGTGGACCTACAGAACAGCCCTCGCACCACAGCCCATGGGCTCTGCAGTGAGGCATGGGACCTCTGGATTCTCTGAGCCCATGGCCTGGTCTCTGTGAGAGCCAGCCTGAACCTTGGCTGTACTGGAGGGTTGCCTCAGTCCATACTCGACACTACCAGGCATACACACTTCTAGGTCATGCAAAGTGGAGTGGCAATTCAAGACAGGTCCCCCCCCTGGGCTCTGGGAGGAGAGAAGAGCACACCCCAAGACAAGGTGAGGGAACTTTAGGGACAGCAGGAGGCAGAGCAGACGTCTGAAGTACACTTTTACACTAACAGGCAGATTCCTACTCTGAAGTTCTTTAGCAAACATTTTTCCAGTGCCTCGTATATGCTGTGATCAAACAAGCACACCTCAGTTCCTGGGGTCTGGAGGGCAAGGACTCAGGACCCTTCTTTGAGAACCAGTATACACAACACTCACTGCTTTGGAAGTATGGGCCTGCCTACCTGACCTCTGCACCACCCAGTCATATCTGATCTCTAGACTGTAAAAAGTATCTTGGAACCAGTATCTGGGGCCAAAGCAACACTATTAAGAGTTGTGCTTGAAAGACACACTTGGGAGTACTTGGGGACTCCTGGAGGCTTACCAATGAGACGAGGAGTGGGAGGCTGAAGAAGCAGAAGAATGAAGCCAAACAGGATTATGGCTTTTCTTTTACAAAGACTGCTACTGTGCTTCTTCTTCTTTTTTTTTTTTAATCTTGAAAAATAACAATTTTCCAAGGAAAGATTGGTGAAAAAGGGAATTTATAAGTGCTATAAACATCCGAAGGGGGGGGGCGAGTCAAGAGAATGAGTAATACCCATGAACACATCATTAACGGCTATTGAAAGATTTAACTGTTAATACTAGAATTATAAAACACACTTAAGTATCAGATATAAGAATGAGGAGTATTTAAACTAAGGGCATGATCCAGAACAAGAAAAGCAACATTTTAGGAGGCTATGCCAAGTTTTCATCCTATTACTCTGTTTCTTGGTAATGAGCAAGCAAGAAGCAGATCATGGTGGAACAGGTCAGCTTCATCAGTTTCTGTTTCTAGGCACTGCTCCTCCTTTCCACTCTCTTGTCCACCATATGCTCTCTGTGCTAGGTTCCTTTTCTCTATAGCTTCCCATCTTCACATGTGTACATCTCTCCAATCCTTCAAAGACTATTTCAAATCCTCCTGATATCACTAGCTACATAGCACATCTTCACTTAAACAAATTTTATGACATAGCACCATGGACCTAGAATTATATTTGCGTTTATGTATACGTATGATAATAATAGTAAATAATTATAGTTAATACTTATTGTGTTTTACTATGTGCCATATACTATAAAAATAATCTAGATGTTTTATATACTTTCTTTTCATTAAACCTCGTTATAGTTTCATGGGGTTGATATGTCCTTTGGGATCTTAAGAAAGATAGTTAAATGACTTGTCCAAGAGATTACTGAGTTAGAAGGTGATAGATCTGGGAACCCACTAGAGTAAAAGTTCCTTGAAATAGGTGAAGGGATTAAGAGTACACTCAGTGTGATGAGCACTGAGTAATGTATGAAATTGTTAAACTACTGTATTGTACACCTGAGAAAATATAACATTGTATGTTAATTATACTGGAATAAAAAAAAATCTAAAAAGAGTTCTGTAAATCAATAAAAGAAAATTAACTGAAAAGTATAATAGATTTTAAAAAGCTTCCTGAAGAAAATGCAAATTAAAATCACCATAAGATACCATTACTCACTTATTAAAATGGCCAAAATAGAAAAAAAAAACAGGTAATACCAAGAACATGAGTAGCTGGAACTTTCATACATTGCTGCTGGGAGTGTAAAATGCTATAGCAATTTCAGAAAACTGTTTGGCAGTTTCTCATAAAATTAGAAAGACACCAGATTACCCAGCAATCCTGCTCCTATGTATTTATACCTCTGAGAAATAAAGCCACATAGCTACCCATAAAAAACTTATATGCAAATATTTAGAGTGGCTTTATTCATAATTGCCCAACTTAGAAACAACCCAGATGTCCATCAGTTAGTGAATGGATAAACACATTAAGGTATATCCAACAGGGCAGCCGCAGTGGCGCAGCGGTTTAGCACTGCCTGCAGTCCAGGGCGTGATCCCGGAGACCCCGGATCGAGTTCCACGTCAGGCTCTCTGCATGGAGCCTGCTTCTCCCTCTGCCTGTGTCTCTGCTACTCTCTCTCTCTCTCTCTCTCTCTCTGCATCTCTATGAATAAATAAATAAAATCTTAAAAAAAAAAGGTATATCCAACAAATGGAATACTATCTAGAACAAAAAAGAACAAACTTCTACTACATGCAATGGCATGGATGACTCTCTCAAATGCAGTAGTATGCTGGGTGTAGGTAGCCAGACTCAGTAGACTACATACAAATGACTCCATTTGTAGAACATTCTGGAAAAGGCAAAGCTGCTGGGAATACAAATGGCCAACAGATTCAGGAAAAAAGCTCAACATCACTTGGCATCAGGGAAATACAAATCAAAACCACCTCTGGTCAGAATAGCTAAAATTAAAAAGTCAGGAAACGACAGATGTTGGCGAGGATGCAGAGAAAGGAGAACCCTTTTTATTGTTGGTGGGAATGCAAACAGTGCAGCCACTCTGGAAAACAGTACAGAGGTTCCTCAAAAAGTTAAAAATAGAACTGCCCTAAGACCCAGCAATTGTACTACTGGGTATTATACAAAGTTATACAAAGGATACAAAAATGCTGATTTGAAGGGGCACCTGCACCCTAATGTTTATAGCAGCACTATCTGCAATAGTCAAACTGTGTAAAGAGTCCAGACGTCCATTGACAGATGAATGGATAAAGATGTGATACATATATACATATTCCATATACATACAGAATGCTACTTAGCCATCAAAAAAATGAAACTAGAGGGTATTATGCTAAGCAAAATAAGTCAACCAGAGAACTAGGTAAGTTTTATTGCATGTAAATTATACCTCAACTAACCTAATATTAAAAAAAAAGTTCTGGGACAATAGGATCATGGATGGCAAGCCTGATTTAGCCAAGTTTCTCTACTATTTCTGACCAAATGTATTACTCAAGCTAACTAGTAAACAAAAGAATAAGCTGATTTGAATTTTCCTACCATTCCATTTCCCTGCTGATCCTTGGCAGATGAATTAATGAGGAAAAACCCGACAAAAGATGACCAAGTAGGAGAAGAAGCCAAAAGCAGAGATAGTCTACAAACATTGAAGAACCTCAAGTTAATCAGGTACCAACCTCAGCAAGTCTCTTGATCTCCTGTTCAAAGATCTCAGCTTTACTAGGAGTTGAGGCTGCCTTCTCATTGTCATCATCTGATGGAAAACACTCCCATATGCTTTAAAAAAAAAAATCAAAAATAAATGTCAAAACTTGAAATGCTTGAGACAGTGAATATAATAAAATAAACTGCTCTCTATAATACAACAAAGATTTTGGTTAAAAATAGTAATTGTATGAAAAGCAGGGGTACCTCACATACCCTAAATGAGCTGAGAAAGAAATAAAGCATGGTATTAAAGCCTACCGATCCCCCTAAGCATACCTGACTGGCCCCTCGAGCTGCTGCTAAATCAGATGCTTTGACAGCATTGCTGCCAGATTATTAAGGGAAAAGCAGTTTAAAAAGCATGCCTAAAAAAAAAAAAAAAAAAAAGCATGCCTGACTCCAGGTATAACCAATTGCTTCCCAGGTCCCAAACCCTTTCCTGTTCCAAGAAGGTGGTACTGGCATTGCTAGGGCAGCAGCATGCTATGTGTTCTACATCTGTCAGGAGCTGAGCTCATGGATCCATGAGTCAAGGAATATATCTGTCTTACTCTCCATTTCCTCATTATCTATCTAGCACAGTGCCTGGTCAATGAATATATTAAAAGATGCTCAATATTTGTGAAGGAACTCAGAGTGTATTTCACAATTTGAAATGTCTAGCAATAGGCAACCTGGGAATTAGACTATTTCATTATTTCTGTGGCGGTCACAAGTATCAGTTCAGTGTTCAAGAAGGCATTAATGAACAGACCCCATGCTTTCTGATTTCCTACATTAGAGTCTCATGTGTGCTGTCAAGAAAATAAGCACTTAGTAAAAATGATTAGGATTTTACTATCAAATGACTTATTTTTAAAAATGTGAATTCAAGTGAAGAATGTTATGCTTATTAGCATATAGCTCTCTTTGCTGGTGCTTATTCTGTTTACTTTTTAAGGAAAGGAGAGAAAGCAATGCCTAAGAGCCATACCTCTTCTGGATACCGAAGGGTCCACTTCAACACCTTTTTCATAAGGGGTGCCACCATTCAAGAATAGTTCATATGTTCTACAAAAGAATAGGAAAAAACCATGTGTTTCCATTTTGAAACACTGAAATCAGGAGTGAAATATTTTTTAGCACAGATACATTCCCAGACATTTTATTTGTCTCATTGCTAAATGAGAATGAAAGTTGTTGATTCTTCTGTGAGATATTATCTCAGTAAATAAAGTTTCCTTAACTTTGAACTGTAGAAAATACATTGTTCCCCATTAAAATGGAAAAATTAATTGATGCCATCAAAGTGTTTTGACTTTAATGACTTACATTAATGAACGCACTAATGATGTATTTTTAAATGTATTTTTCAAATGTTTATACAGCGTAGAAATGATAAGTAAAAAATGAAACAGGGAGCCTGGGTGGCTCAGTTAAGTATCTGCCTTCAGCTTGGGTCATGATCTTGGGGTCCCAGGACTGAGCTCTGAGTTGAGTCAGGTTCCTGGCTCAGGGGGAAGAGTCTGCTTCTCCATTTCCCTCTGCCTCTCTCCTTTGCCCCCTCGCATGCACGAGCTCTCTCTCTCTCTCTCTCTCTCAAATAAAATCTTAAAAAAAACAAAAAACCAAAACAAAACATCCCTCCCCATCCCATCCCCTCTAGTCTGGAAAGGCCCTACCTTCTTCTTTGCAAATGCAAACAAATATATATACATAGTAAATCTCAAAACTGACACATTTTCTTTTAAAGTTGCATATGGCCTAAATGTAGAAAGTAGAAGATAAAAGCCCTCTTTAATCCCGCTGCATTAACTCTTTGCAAATGCAAACAAATATATATACATAGTAAATCTCAAAACTGACACATTTTCTTTTAAAGTTGCATATGGCCTAAATGTAGAAAGTAGAAGATAAAAGCCCTCTTTAATCCCGCTGCATTAACTCCCTAGTTCTGCTCCTCAGAGGCAACCTCTGGGAACATTTTACATGAACCTGCCCATATATGCACACAAATACAAATTTTATGAACAAAAGTGGAGCCACAGTACACATACTATCCTGCGGCTTTTTTCCATATAATAATATACATTGGAAATGTTTCTATATCAATACATAGGCTTCTACCTCATTTAGAAAAATAGCTATGACTTCACTTTTGGAAAGATGGAGAAGATCCCCTTTTCTCTCCCACTAGGGACAGCTGAAAACCCTAGACATTCTTAAAAACAAAACAAAACAAAACAAATTTAAATCACAAGAAGCCTGGACTATTACATTCTCAGAGGGTGTGCCCCTTCCCCTATCACTGGGCTGATGTTAGAGGAGGACAAGTGGAGTCCGGACTTTGACCTCTGCCCTGTGGTAGAGAAGCCATACCCACCCCTGGAATATAAGCAGAAGTCACAGATGGCAGGGAGCATTATCTGAATTAATCCTCAGAATAACCCTTTGGGGTAGGAACTGTTATACTCTCCCATTTTAAGATAGAGGAAATTGGGGCTTGTATAGGCAAAGAACCTGGAACTTGGCTTAATTACACAGACAGAGCCAGGACCAGAGCCCTGAATTGTAGAATTCCAAACCCTGGATCATAATCACCATCCTGATGCCTGCCCAACAGTATCTCTTCAGTTAATTTCTTGTTTATATCTTAGACTTAGATTTTTGTGTGTGCACCCATTTAAAAATCTGAATTGTCTTTTTCTTATTTCTGAAAGCCCATTTTATATCAGGGATAATAATCTGACTATGATGTTTATATTGCAAATATTTGGTACCCATCTGCTTTTTGGTCTTCAGTTTTAAATTCATTTACAGTAACTGCCATTAGGATTTTGGCGTGTCCCCTATAGGAGAAAAGTAGAGTCACAGAGGACCTGGGGATCCTGGACTTAGCTTTCCCACTCTTTGGAGAGAATCAGGTTCCGTTTTAGCACTGTGAAATGTGCTAATGCCATAGAAAGTTACTGAAAAATATTCTCAGCAGAGGTAAACTCTTTTTCTTTCTTTTTCCTTTCCTTTCCTTTCCTTTCCTTTCCTTTCCTTTCCTTTCCTTTCCTTTCCTTTCCTTTCCTTTCTTTTCCTTTCTTTGAGAGAAAGAGAGAGAGAGAGAGAGAGAGAGAGAGAAAAGGAGTGGGGAAAGAGCAGAGGGAGAGGGAGAGAATCCCACTGAGCACAGAGCCCAAGGCAGGCCTCCATCTAAGCCGGAACCAAGAATTGGATGCTCAACTAACTGAGCCATCCAGGTGCCCCTGAGGAAACATTTTTAAAAATAACTGTTCTATATGTGGCATTTCTTCCTCTCTAAGATGACCCTGTACATGCTGTTTTCATATACCACCTCAAAGAACATTAAAATCAACATTGAAAGCCCTCTTCCCCCAAGTTTTTGAAATGCTAACAGAATACACACTCTGCAAACCTAAGATATCCAGATTCTAAATAATGAATTTCTACAAAATTATTCATTTGGAAGGAATATATACACAACTTACTTTGCTGAAATAGGAATTCCACTGGCATCAAAAAGTTTAAGAAACACCCAGCCACAACTTAATTCTCCTCTTTCACCAGTTGACTAGGAAATAAATGGGCATACAAAACTTAATGTCTGAATCAGCCAAATTTAAAAGCACATACCTGGTCCTTTAAAGGGAACAAAATTAGCATTCGCTTTTAGAACTAAAAAATTCTTCACAAGAAAATAAAGTGAAACACTGTCAGTCCCATTTTCCTGGCATGCCAGATGGCTAAGGAAGTATGTAAAGTGAAAATCCTTTCTTGTTAAATTACTTTTGAAAATCCCTTAAATCTGATGATGTCACAACTGTTGCTATTGTTTCAATGATATAAATATTTTGTGAAATTATCTAAACCACATAAGTACTACATGCGATTTATGCAGCTTTGTCTCAGTGAGAGATGCAATGCACGAATTAAATAAATTTTAATTTTTTAATCATGGGTCAGACTTTACCTCTACCCATCAACTACTAAAGGCCCTGGGGACTTGCTTGGGGCCCTGCTCCCTTCTCCTGTCCCACAACACAAATGGATGCATCTGACTTGAAGAAATGAAAGTGGCAGCCCAGGTGGCTCAGGGATTTAGCGCTGCCTTCCGTCCAGGTTGTGATCCTGGAGACCCGGGATCAAGTCCCACGTCAGACTCCCTGCATGGAGCCTGCTTCTCCCTCTGCCTGTGTCTCTGCCTTTCTCTCTCTCACTCTGTGTCTCTCATGAATAAATAAATAAAATCTTTAAAAAAAAAAAAAAAGGATGATGTAATACTATTAACAGCAGTTGGTTCTCTGAGTCACCTTGAGGCCAAGTATATATACTACACCTACCAAGATATTATTAGATTGGAGGGACATTTAAATTACTATCACGTCAAATAGGTAAAGATGACTAAGAGCACATTTATCATGACGAGCACTCAGCAATGTACAGCACTGCTGAATCACTATATTGTACACCTGAAACTAATATAACACTGTATGTTAATTATACTGGAATTGAAAGAAAAGACTGAATAAAATAAAAATAAATAAATTACTATCACAGACCCACACCCACTGGTTTAATTGTTTATATGACATGAGTTAATCCAAGTTTCTGGAGCTCCCTTTATAAAAAATTATCACTCGACAAGTCACCTATTAGAACCATCAGCCACAAGCTTAAGTATACCCTGACCCTGTAGGACAGAGCTAAAACACTGCTGGAATGCCACTGAACATCTTTTATCACTTTCTACAAACTCACATCCTTTTCAAGTCTTCATTCTTTAAATGCAATGGAGTTCATTCAAGCTATAAATATAAACAAATATATTATAAATGCTATTGACAAAGCAGCACTATATATAAATTAGAACCATTCCCATTCCTCAAGAGATTAAAATTCTATTATATATGAAAACCTCAATTATTTTACTTGTAAATAACTTTTAATAATTTTTTTAAACTTCTCTTTAACTGATACATTAGAAGGTTTTCTCTTTCAACTGACATACATTGCGAATATAAGAAATTCCAAGTTCAAATAATATTCCAAGATCTGGGGATGAAGAATTGGATCTGATAAAACAATCACCATCAAGCAAGCAGGGCAAGATGCCAGTAACCTGAAATAAATAAACAATAAAGAAAACTAAGTTACTAATACAAATGGGAGGGAGGTTTCAGCTCTACTCATCTGTACATAGTTTATACTTTTCCATTGTAATAATAATCTTTTAAAGGAAACAGAAAGCAGATGGATTGGACCCATCTACACCAATGATTTCAAGTTAAAAAATTTAAGTTTTGTTTTGAGGGAAATACCTTTGCCTCCACTTATTCTTCCGTTAGAGTAATATGAAAATAGCAGTGTACCTAGGTCCTCAGAGGTTTTATAAAAATAGTTTGCATATAAAACAAGGTATTTATATTAACCATTGTTTTTTGTAAATAGAGCTAAAATTAAAGACTTCATACACACATTTGCTCAACTTTCCTGAGGCGTGCCTTGTAAATTTTCCTTTCCTTTCTCTTTTGCTCATTTCTTTTCCTTTCTCTGGATAACCACACCCCTCTGCCTTGCCTATAAAATCCTCCCCAACCCTCCAAGTCTAGTTTCTCTTCTACAAAACCATCCCTGAGCTTAAGGGCCATAATTAATTTCACCTTCCTCTGTGCTTCCACAGTACTTGGGAGTTCCTCAACCATTACATTCTGCCCTGGTGGTGGATATCAACAGGACCCCCACACCAACAGGGCTACTCTAAGGACTAAATTATCTAATTATCTAATAATGCCCAGGAGAAGACCTACCACCATGCCTGGCACATGGACAGAGCTCCATAAACACAGGCTATTGTTATTATACCTGTCTATGTTTCTTCTCTACCAACATGTAAGTTCCCACAGTGCCTAGGAAGAATTTCACTCCTAGCAGATGCTTAATTTCAGTCGACAAAGGAATAATTTATTTATTCTTCCAGTTTGTCTTCATATCCAGAAAAATTAGAAAGTTCGACCCTAAATGCTTCATGTACATAGAAATGCAACATCAGAACTGTGACATGTTGTGCCAAAATACAAGCAGTAGGGCATTTAAAAGATCAAACTAGACTTTCAGATGTGCTAAAGCCAAGCATGGGTACATGCAGCACACAAGCCAGGTGGCTGGGTCTCTTCAATGCCCTGTGTCCTCTTCTCAAACCCCTATTGCTTGTAGATCTTCAGATGCAGTAAGAGAAAGGTTAATGGAGGATTTTTAGGGGGCAGTGCCCCAAAGGAATTAGTTATGAGAAGTGAATACTAGAATAATGAAATTTATGAGGCAGGAAGAAAGTAAAGTAAAATAAATATAGACAATATTATAACAAGAACATCAAGATATAAAATCTTCATGTTCACGAACATCTATGTCATAGGGACTCAGTGGTTTGAACCCACCTAACCTCATTCCAGTCTTTTTTTGTTCCAGGCTTGACAGTGCCTGGACAGTACAGTACCAGCCCCGGGTGTCACCCTTGATTTCATCTGAAGAAAGCACAGCTCTCATTAGCACAATTGATTTCATTTGTGAAAAACACTTCCTAAATTTATCTTTTTGTTTTCATTTTCATCAGAGGGCATTTCCTAGAATTGAACCCCAAAATCCACTGAATAAGATGATTCATAAGAATTGTAACTCTGATGAGTCAGAAACAAAAGTAATTTTTATCAAAGTCCTCAAAGAACATTAAATCATGTAAAGATTCAAATCTGGCCCCATGTATCTTGTGCTTAACATAAATATGTTATTTGAGAGATACACATAGACAGCTTTGCTTCAGAAATTAAATTGCATAACACTTAACAGGTAAAAGATGTTCATGTTTCATTCCATTCCCCTTAGCAGATTCCTTACCTGGGGAGAAAAGGTCCATGTTTTGGGCTTTTTAGATTGCCATGTGGCTCTGACTGTATGAATGTTGCTCAGAACCTGAAATGAGATTGTCTTATATGAGATCATACTGTAGAGAGCTCTCTAAAAACATCACCACTTGTAGGGGTGCCTAGGTGGCTCAGTTGCCTAAGCATCTGACTCTTGATTTGGGCTCAGGTCATGATCTCAGGGTCCTGGAATCAAGGCCTGGGCTTCATGTTTAGTGTGTGTGTGGTGGTGGTAGTCTGCTTGGGGATTTCTCTCCATCTCTCTCTGCCCCTCCCCCTGCTCCCTCTCTCTAAAATAAATAAAAATTTAAAAAATTATTTTTTATTTTTTAAAGATTTTATCTATTTATTCATGAGAGACACAGAGAGAGAGAGAGACAGAGACAGAGATACAGGTAGAGGGAGAAGCAGGCTCCTCGCAGGGAGCCCGATGTGGGACTTGATCCTGGATACTGGGATCAGGCCCTGAGCCGAAGGCAGATGCTCAACTGCTGAGCCACCCAGGTGGCCCAGTATCTTTTTTTACGATTTTATTTTAAATAAAATCTTCATGAGAGACACAGAGAAAGAGGCAGAGACACAGGCAGAGGGAAAAACAGGCTTCCTGTTGGGGAGCCCAATGAGGGACTCGATCCCAAGACCTCGGGATCATGACCTGAGCTGAAGGCAGATGCTCAACCACTGAGCTACCCAGGTATCCCACATGTTAGTATCTTTGCTGTGTTAAGGAGGAAGACAAATACAGGATAATTTTAGATTTATGAGAATAATTTATAGCTAAATAGGTATGTTAAAAATTGAAAAGTAACCACTTAAATAACGGAAATATAATCTATAGATTTCAAACCAAAAGTAGAAAAAAACAGAACACAGACAACAATATTTCAACAGATGACAGAAACAGAAAAAAGCAAAACGATGATAAACAGAAAAGACACCAACACCAATAAAAGAAGTAAGTCCAAATATACGGGTATTATAATAAATGAGGCTCATCTAATATTATTTACTCAATCCAGATATGGACAACACAAAGAAAGTTATAAGCCTATTTTATTTATGAATAGTAATGCAAAAATCCCAAATAAATATTAGTGAACCTAATTCAGCAATGGTTTTCTTTTTAAACAAAATAAAAAGTTTGTAATCAAGAAGAGTTTATCCCAGGATGTCTCAATATCAGAAAATCTATTATTGTGGTACACTACATTAACAAATTAAAGGAAAAAAAATCAAATGATCATCTCAATAGAGGCAGAAAATGATTTGCTAAAATTCAACATTCACTTGTAAATATGAAAACCTGGAGCAGAAGAGAATTAACCTAAGAAAGGGTACCTATCAACAACTTGTAACAAATATCCTATGGGTGAATTTTCAGATGTATTTACATGTCAATCAAGAAGACTACAAGGCAGTCCCTCTGGTAGTCCCTGGCCAAAACAGTAAGATAGCAAAAGGATATGAAATAAAAATGGGAGAGACAAAACTGTCTTTATTTGCAGGCAATACAAATGTACACATAAAAAGTCTGAGACTCTATAAAAAGTAACACTATATTTTAAAGGTACTAGATATGATAAGCAATTTCAGTAAATTTTAGGGATACATGATCAACTTCCAGACGACAATAGCTTTCTATGCATCAATCATAACCAATTAGAAAATATAAGAGGAAAAATATTCCAATTCATTATAGCTACCCAAACTAGCTAATTTTCAGGAAATAATAAGGCAGAAGGAAGGTAAATGGAGAAACAAGTTAATGATAATATAAAGAAGTGAACAGAGAAATCTTCCAGAACTGTACTATCTAATACAGTAACCACTAGACACATGTAACTATTTAAATTTAACTTTAAATCACTTAAATTAAATTAAAAATTTGGGGGTACTTGAGTGGCTCAGTCAGTTAAGCGTCTGCCTTCAGCTCAGGTCATGACTGGGGGGTCCTGGGATCAAGCCACCAGGTCAAGCCCCATGTTGGGCTTGCAGCATTTATTTTTAAATTAATTAGACTCTTATTATTTTTATTTTTTAAAAGATTTTATTTATTTGAGAAAGAGAAAGCAACAGTGAGAGAGAGAGAGAGAGAGAGAGAGAGAATGTGCACGAGCAGGGGGGTAGGGGTAGAGAGAGAGGGAAAAGCAAGCTCCCCACTGAGCAGGGACATAGGCAGAGACCTAGGCAGAGGGAGAAGTAGATTCCTTGTGGGGAGCCCAATGTGGGACTCAATCCCAGGACCCTGGGATCATGACCCAAGCAGAAAGCAGATACTTAACCAACTGAGCCACACCCAGGCCCCCAATAGACTATTTTTAAAGAGAAGTCTTGGGGCACCTGGGTGGCTCAGTGGTTGAGTGTCTGCCTTGAGCTCAGGTCATGATCTCAGGGTCCTGGGATCAAGTCCTGCATCGGGCTCCTCCCAGGGAGCCTGCTTCTCCCTCTGCCTGTGTCTCTGCCTCTCTCTGTGTGTCTCTCATGAATAAATAAATAAAATATTTAAAAAGAGAGAAAGAGAAGTCTTAAGGTTACAAAAAATTTGAGCGCAAAGCAATTATTTTTTATCTTAAAGGTCAAAGTACCTATCACAAACTGGGGAGCTTCAATAGAACTAGGTGATAAGGCCATGGGTGTCTGTTATATCATGCTTTGCACATTGCTTTGTACTTGAAATAGTTCATATTTTAATATTGCTAATTCCAATAAAAAGAAGATGGGAGTATAAAACAGATGTAAAAGGAAACAAGTAAACAAATTGAAAAATTATAATGGTCTAATTATATAAGAAAGATTTGAAATGTGAGATTTAGGCTTGCCCTCTATTTTCTCTTATCATTGGCAAAACAGATGGGTAATTAGTTGGTGTATTATTTCTTAATGAGTACTTAAGGGTTTTTGATGTATTTTTTAAAAGGGTGAAATATATAATGGTGGTAGTTCTGAAATGTGTCAAACATATCAGACAAGTTAAAAGAAACATACAGTGAACTCCCATATACACATCACCTAGATTCTACCATTAACATTTTACTATACTTGCTTTATCACATATATCATCTATCATCTATCTATCCATCCCTTGATTCACCTTATTTTTTATTTTACTTTTTTTTAAGTAGGCTGGAGTCCAATGTAGGTGGCACCTACCTTCCACTGACAGGATGGTGTCAGAGGCCTGCTAAATGGAAGTTAAAATAAGATCCAGAAATTCTTAACACCCAAAATGTCTAAGATACAATAAAAAACCACTCATCATACTATGAATCAGGAAAATCTCAAATTGAATGAGAAGACAATCAACAGACACCAACACTGAGATGACACAAATGTTGGAATTACCTGACAAGCATTTTATTTATTTTTATTTTTTAATTTTTTTAATGGTACCTGACAAGCATTTTAAAGTGGACTTCTAAAAATACTTTAGTAAGCAACTACAGACATGTCTGAAACAAATTTAAAATACAGAAAGAAATACAAAGTCTCAAGAAAGAAATAAGGAAATCTCAACAAAGAAATAGAAGATAAAAATGAAGAACCTAGTGGAAACCATAGAATTGAAAAATACAATAATCATAATAAAAAACACACATGTGCACAAACACAACTCATTGGACAGACTCAAATGCTGAATAAGAAAGAAAAGAATCAGTGAGCCTGAAGATAGGAAAATAGAAATTATGCACTCTGAACAACTAAGATAAAATCGATGGAAAAAAATAATCAGGGCCTCAGAAACTGGTGGGATTACAACAAAAGATCTCACATTCATGTCATCAGAGTCCCAGAAAAGAGTCTGGAGCTAGAAAAGTATTCAAGAGAATAATGCCTAAAATATCCCCAAATTTGGCAAAGGACACAAATCTACAATTTAATAAGCTGAGCAAATCTTAAACAGGATAAACCCAAGGATTCCATGCCCAAGTACAAAAATTAAACACATATATTTTGAAAGCAGTGAAGAAATAACACCTAGATTAACCAATAAGAGGCCACAAATTGTAGTGACAGTGGATTTCTCATCAGAAACCACAGAAGGAAGTGAAACAATATTTCTCAAATGCTAAAAACAAAAAAACAAAAACAAAGTGCCAAACCAGAATTCCATACCTATTGAAAATATTCTTCAGAAGTGAAGGGGAAACAGACATCCTTGGATAAAGAAAAATTAAGAGAATTTGTAGCCAACAGGAAGAATGGTTAAAGGGAATTCTTTAAACAGAAAGGATATGTTAAGAAAGAATCTTTGAACACCAGGAAGGAAGAACAATGAAAAGAATAAAAGTAAGAGTAAATACAACAGATTTTCTCTTGAGGTTTATAAATTATGCTTGATTGTTGAAGTAAATATAAGACTGTGTTTTGATGTGGTTCTCAGTAATATAAAGTTTTAACAATAAAGCTTTTTATTTGTAATTAGGGAAGCACTATTAGGTAAATAGCAATGAGTATTTGTGTACTTATTAAGTATCTTCTAAAACTTGTCAGCTGGAAATCCAACATAAATTAGTTACATAAGTTCACTTCTATTATTTTTTTAAATTTTATTTATTTATTCATGAGAGACACAGAGAGAGGCAGAGACATAGGCAAAGGGAGGAGAAGCAGGCTCCATGCAGGAGCCTGATGCGGGACTCGATCCTGGAACTCTAGGATCACAACCTGAGTCAAAGGCAGACACTCAACCACTTGAGCTACCCAGGTGTCCCCACTTCTATTATTTTTAAATGAATCACTTCTATTATTCCGATATGTTATTTAAATAAAATCCAATCTTTAGGTTCTCATATATGAGAATAGGGAGAGGTAAAGTATCAAACCAGATCGGAGCAAAGAAGGTAATTCATCTTTTCTTGGTCACCGATGACACCTACTGGCTTATTAATAGTGGTGGCTTTGTGCAGGGTATGTAGAAATGAGGGAGGATTACAGAAACAAAGTACAGAAAGAAAGAAAGGCATTGGGAGCTAGAAGTATACTGAGCACAAGCTAAGCTAAACCCACAAATTCCTACAAATCTGATCAGCTCTCAAAGCTCCCTATCTCATTGAATGTCACTGCCATCCATCCAGATAGATGTCATGTTTGACACCCCACTCTTCCTCACCCACCATTTCCAAGGCATTACTAAATTGTGGTTTTTACAATCTAAATATCCCTTTGGCCATAGTTCTCATCTCCATCTCCACTTCCCTAGTTTAAGTTCTTAGCCTCATATCTCATTTAGCCACTTAACATGTTTTACTATGTTCTAAGTGTTTTACTGATTATATTAACTCATTTCATCCTCACACAGACCCTAAGAGATGTGTGCCAGATAAGAAAGGGGAAAGAGAGCAAGGCCAAGTAATTTGGTCAGTGTCTTACATCAAGCTGGTGTAACTAGGGTTAATCTGGGACAAATGGCTCCAGATTTTGTTTTTTTGGAGGTGATGCTTGCTGCCCTTTGACTACCACACTGTCACAGTCTCTAAATGGTCGACTCATGTCCCTTCTGGTCGGTCTCCTTCTAATTCATCTCCAAAGAAGAGTCAGAGATATTCCTAAAGCAGAAATCTAAACTATTATCACTTCCTCCAAAGACTTGCCCTGTTTTTAGGATAAAGACAAAACTCCCTTACATCATGGTGTATATAGTGTTTTACACTATACTCCTTCCTGACGTCTCCTATTTCATTCCATCCTACACTCCCTCTTGTTCTCTCACTTGGCCACACTGGCCTTCCCCAAGTCCTTTCCCTCTAAGCCCCTTGCCTGTTTTGCTCCTTTGGCCAGGTTTACACTTCCCGTTTCCCTTCAGCCTCTTAAGGCCTATTTATCCATAGATCTCAACCCAAGCATCATCTTCTCAGGAGGGAGCTTAGACTGTCAATCTGAAAGTTCTTTTCTAATGTACGTAGTGCTGTAAATTTCCCTCTCAGTCATCCTTTATTAACATTCTACAAATTATATGACACATTTTCATTTTTTGTTTAGTTCCAATTATTTTCTAATTTCCCTTGAAACTGTCTTTTAATCCATTAATTTCTAAGTATTTAAGGATTTTTTCAGTTATCTTTCCGTGACTGATTTCTAATTCAATTCCACATAATCAAAGACCATTCATTGTATCACTTCAATTCTTTTAATTTGTTCAGGGTAATCTCTCTTGATAAATGTTCCATATGCACTTGAAAGAATGAGTATTTTATTATTTTTAGGTGAACTGTTGCACAAATTTCTATTAGATCCAGTTTGTAGATGGTGTTAATTCCCTTATATACTTACTAATTTTCTGCCTGCTTGTCCTACAGATCACTGAGAGTGAAGTTAAGGTTTTCAAATATAACTATGGCTTTGCCTGTTTCTCCTTTCATCTCTCTTTTTTAAAAAAGATTTTATTTATTCACAAGAGACAGAGACAGAGAGAGAGAGAGAGAAAGGCAGAGACATAGGCAAAGGAAGAAGCAGGCCCCATGCAGGAAGCCCAATGTGGGACTCAATCCCAGGACTCAGGGATTATGCCCTGGGCCAAAGTCAGATGCTCAACCGCTGAGCCTCCCAGGTGTACCAATTCTTGGTAATCTTCCTTGTTCTGAATATTATTATATTTTGAATGGTCTACCTTTTTCATCCTTCTACTTTTAACCTGCCTATATTTATTATACTTAAGGTGGGTTTCTTATACATAACATACGGTTGCATCCCTCTCACTGTGGTTTTAACTTGCATTTCCCTGAGGACTTCTTATATGTTATATATATCTTTTTATGTCTCTTAGTTTTTCATATATTTAAGTGTCTGTTCAAGTCACGTCAATTTAAAAAATTGAGTTATCTTTTTATTTCTTGGACATCCTTGATTTGTGACTGATCTTAGGGGGAAAGCATTCAAAATTTCACCACAAAGTGTGATGATGTCAGCTTTAGTTTTCTCTTGTTGCCTTTTACCAATTTGAGGACGTTCCCTTCTGTTCCTAGTTTGTTAAGAATTTTTTAAAAATCATGAATGGGTGTTAAAATTTGTCAAATGCCTTTTCTATATCTCGAGATGATTACATGACTTTTCTACTTTAGTTCTGTTAATACGGCAAATTACAATGATCTATTTTCTAGTGTTAATTCAATGTTGGTTACACAGGTGTATACAATTGAATTCTTGGAACAAACTCCAATTAGGAGGTTTTTTTTAATATATTGCAAGATTCAATTTGCTAATATTTTGTTTATAATTTTAGTGTCAATATTCATGAAGGAAACTGGTCTTAAAATTTTTCTTTCTTGTGATGTCTTGTCATATTTTGGTATCATGTTTTTCCTGGTCTTATAAAATGAGTTGGGAAGCATTTTCTTTTTATCTGTTCTTTGGAAGAGTTTATGAAGTATTGTTGTTATTTCTTGCTTAAATGTTTGGAGAAATCCACCAGTGAAACCATCTGGACCTAGAGTTTTCTTTGTTGGAAGATATTTAATTACATTTTGAATTTTTTAAACAGAGGTTACAACTTTTCTATTTCTTCTTATGTCAGTTTTGGTAAATGACAGTTTCAAGGAATTTATCTATCTATGTTGTCAAATTTATTGGCATAAGGATATTTATGATATCTCTTTATCATCCTTTTAATGTCTGTAGATCTGTGGTGAGGTCTCCATTTTCACATCAGATATTGATTGTTCATTATCTTTTTCTTTTTAAAATTTCTTTATCAGTGTTATGAGGCATTTTTCAATTTTACTAACCTTCCCAAAGAATAAACTTTTGCTTTTAAAAATTTCTCTCTTGTTCATCTGTTTTATATTTCATTAAATTCTACTCTTTTTTGGCATTTTTATTTTTATTTTTTTTTAATTTTTTATTTATTTGTGATAGGCACACAGTGAGAGATAGGGGGGGGGGGCAGAGACACAGGCAGAGGGAGAAGCAGGCTCCATGCACCAGGAGCCCGACGTGGGATTCGATCCCGGGTCTCCAGGATCGCGCCCTGGGCCAAAGGCAGGAGACAAACCGCTGCGCCACCCAGGGATCCCTTTTTTGGCATTTTTAATTTGGTTTGTTTTATTTAAGTTTTTTTTTCATTAAATTTCACTCTTATCTCTAATATTTCCTCCATTCTACTTCCTTCTGGTTTAAGTTGTTATTCCTTTTCCAGTCTCTTGAGTTGGTAGCTTAGAGTTGGTAGCTCACTGATTTTAAATCTTTTTTCTTGTCTGGTTTATGCAGTTAAAACTACAAATTTCTAGCTAAGCACTGTATTTAAGCTGTATCTCACAAGCAAATCAATTTTTTAAGCGTCATTTAGATTCTTTGCTTGGTATTGGGTAAAAAATATCCTCTTAGGAGTCAGGGAATAGTAAAATGGAAAAGGACAAAAAAAAAACTTTGTAAGGTGATGGTAATGCTCTGTATCTTGATTTGGGTATAAGTTATATAGGTATGCAGTACTCTGTACACTCAAAACCTTAACTATATATAATACTAGATAGGCATCAGTACCTTTTTTGTAAGTGAGAAATCTAAGGCTTCAGAGTAGTTAATTGGGATACATTTACCAGTATCATGCACTTAGCAACTGAAAGAGCCAGGAATTAAGCCTATGTCATCAGAACCCTTATGGTTTGCATTCTACCACATATTATTTTATAAGTATACACATACATACAGAGAGAGAGAGAGAGAGAGAGAGAGAGAGAGAGAGAGAGAAACAGACATACCCCATGCAGTACATGTTTACTATGTGGCTTTAACAAAATATTTCTCCAGACTGATGTGAACTGATTTACTCCTCAGTAAGCTCACCTTGTTACCATCAAATAGACAGAGGCGTACATGTCTACTGAGAACCTGGATGCTCGTTCCTGGAAGAGGAATCATTTTACAGCTCCAGAGGGTCAGAATGAATGAAACACGACTTGGTCTTGATCTAATCTGAGAGAAATTAGTTAGAAAAAAGGTTTATTTTATGGCTTATAAGACAAATTTACTTTCAAAGCATCTTTTATAAATACTTAAAATGTACACAGAATAAAAAAGGATGAAAATTATACAGAAATGTACACAAAAAAGTTTCAATAGTCTGCACAACTTAAATAAAAACCTTACATAAATTTTTCACAAATCTTTATATTTGAAATATTTGCATTTTGGGGGTAAATACATAAAAATCATAAAGAAAAAAGTCAGTATAGTCAGGTAAAATGGATGACTCAACTATGGAAACACTGCATTCCAGGTTCATTCTTACAGCTCATTCTTATACAATGTGGGTAAGTGTAGAAGGTCACCACAGCATAATAACCAATGACACCTGGCATTACTATTATCCAGCTGGATCCTCTTTGTTTTAATTCTAAGCATTTACCTAAACTGCTCCTTGGCTTCTTACACAGATGTATACACTTTTAAGACTTTATTCATTCGTGAGAGACAGAGAGAGAGAGAGAGAGAGAGGTAGAGACACAAGCAGAGGGAGAAGCAGTCTCCATGCAGGGAGCCTGATGTGGGACTTGATCCGGGTCCCCGGGATCACCCCAAGCCGAAAGCAGACACTCAACTGATGATCCACCCAGGCATCCCTCTCACAGATACTTTGATAGAGAATGCATTGACCATTGGATAGGGTTTTTCAGTTCTAATTCACAAGTATAGTTTCTGAACTGTATAAAGTACAATAAATTGGCACTCAGGTTTCTTATCGAAAAATATCTTCAACTTTTTTTTAAAAGATTTTATTAATTTATTCGTGAGAGACACAGACAGAGGAGAAGCAGGCTCAATGCAGGAAGCCTGATGTGGGACTCAAACCCAGGACTCCAGGATCATGCCCTGGGCCGAAGGCAGGCATCCCTGAAAAATATCTTCAACTCTTAACATTATGCTTTATGGTCATGAGCCTTTTCATTTAAAGACTTTATATCACTGAAAAAATAAGACAATATCTAACAGCTTGTCACATTTTTAATTTAAGAAATGAGAGCTAGGGGCACCTGGGTGGCTCAGTGGTTGAACATCTGCCTTTAGCTCAGGTCATGATCTCAGGGTCTTGGGATCGAGTCCACATTAGGCTCTTCGCAGGGAGCCTGCTTCTCCCTCTGCCTATGTCTCTGCCACTTTCTCTGTGTCTCTCAAATAAATAAAATCTTAAAAAAAAAAAAGAGAGCTAAATATTTAGTTCTCTGGGTACAAATTCATAAAATTGAATGCCATTTATTCAAGTACTAGTACACTAAGCAGACCAAATACAACATTTTTACTGACTTGTAATAAAAGATACTTCACAGTAAGAAGGTCCCAGGGAATGTTCAGGTTGAGAGGGGAAAATTTTATACCACCTCTCCCCACAATACCTGACCACACTGGTCCTCTTATTCTTCCCTTGAGACTCTGACAGAAAAAGGGAGAAAAGGCAGGAGGTAAACAGGAAGGGAAGTGATGTGCTCTAATGTGGTTCATATCTGCTTAAAAGGAGGAGAGTAGAATTAAATATCAAGAGTATTTCCTACTTCAAGTACTCGGGATACCAGGAATCTTTTACTCTAAGCTCCTTAAAAAAAAAAAAAACTATAATCATAAAAGACTTCCAACTTCCTCATTCCTACTTAATAAAAAAAAGTTACTACTACTACTATTGATATCAGCTAACATTTACTGAGTTATTTTGTGCCAGACACTGTTCTAAGCCCTCCACACACGATGTAATTTGTCCCAATAACTCTATGTTAGTATTATTATCATTTCCTTTTTTATAGATGCAAAGAATGAGTATGAGAGATACCTAGTATTACTTCCTTTGTAACAATGGGAGAAGAAAGCAACAGTTTCATTGTCTTAGCATTTCATTGTCTTAGCAATGAAACTATCACTGAGTGTTTAAAAATTAAAATACAGAAATAATTTTTTAATTTTCTAGAATACATTAATCAATTTACAAGTTATTTGTATCCTTACAACCATAACAAAATCTGGAAAGGTATAATTTTACTGATAACAACCATACTCACAGTGCCTGTTTTAGCATCCCACATTAGATCTCTGAAGGCTAGTTGTGAAGGAGTGAGCTCTGGTTGTAAGAAGTAACTTGCTCGAAACTGATTCCCTGAAAAAATAATTTTTCTTTTATTTTCTTACAAAGAAAGGAATGAAATCCAAAGCCAAAAATGTATGATGCTATGCGACAAATTTAGGAAACAGGCATCCAAAATGTCAAGTCCCTTACCAAGAACTTGCTTTCTAAGACATATATGCCAATGGAGATTTATTTACCCATAAGAACAACAGTAGAAAAAGGAAAGATAGAAGCACATAGAGCTGATCTTAAAGCAGCTTTAAGAAAGATCTTAAAAACTTTAGGCCAATAACGTGCCCTGTGATGAAGATGATCCATTCAAATATTATTATGAAATGCAGAAAATGTGTAAACACTTTTTAGAAAAACACATAATTATTAATTTCACTTCTTGACACAAAACCATTGTTACACTGTTTCCCAATACTTTAGTTATGAAGAATGCTGATCATAAAATCACTTATTCATTTGAGAAATCTTTTCTGAGTTCCCACTATGTGCAAGGTACTCTGCTAGGACCTGCAAATACACATGTGAATCAGAGAAATACAGCCCCTGCCCTCATTAATTTACAGTTGAGTGGGGGAAATAATTTCAAAAAATAAGTAGATGAGAGAATAAAATAATTATAAACTAACATATCCATAGAGGGTGCTGAAATGGAAGGGTGTATGGGGAAACTACATTACTCAAAGAAGGCATCTCTAGGTAGATGGAAAGTTCTGGGATGCAAAGGATGAGAAGGAACTGGGCATTCAGGGAAGGCTGGGAAGGCTCCTCTCAGCCTTCCCAGCAAAAGAACCTCAAAGCAGCCCTTACAACAGACGATTCAACAACTCAGGGTATACAGGAGATCCTCCTCTAACATCATTTCTCTGTAACAAGCTCATGACAAATGTTGTTAAGTATGGAGAAATCCAAGAATGAATAAGAAAACAGAAATGCAAATGGATGATAATTTTTCAGAAGTCTTTCTGTGAAGAAAAGGAGAGAAAGGGAGGCTTTGGAAGTGGGGGCGGGCTGAAGATACACGAAAAGGCTCATAATTTAAAAAGTCATATTTTTGAAATAAAGCAGAGAGTCCATGGGCGCCTGGGTGACTTAGTTCATTAAGTATCTGCCTTCAGCTCAGGTCATGATCCCGGAGTCCTGGGATCAAGACTGGCATCAAGCACCCTGCGAGCGGGGCGGGGAGCCTGCTTTCTCCCTCTGCCTGTCACTCCACCTGCTTGTGCTCTCTCTCTGTCAAATAAATAAATAAATTAAAAAAAAAAAAAAGGCAAAGGGGCTAGAAGCCAGAGCACTGGTAAACAGACTGGCATCTAACAGGATCAGGGTCCTTCCTCCACTGTCATAGGAAGGATGAAGAAATAAATGGGTACCAAAGAGATGTGATATTCAACATCTTTTTAAACAACTTGTTTTGGCTAAAACAATAAAAGTAGACATAAAACCTGACTGCTTAACTACAAGTATGTGGTGGCTCACAGAAACTATTACCTTCCTCCAGAAGCTGGAAGAGTGTGGAAGGCCTGAATCCTGCAGGAATAGCTCCCATTGTGGTTAACACATCAACAGTGTTTATCTGCTGAAGATAGTAAAGGACAAAATGGAGTTGTTTGTTTTCATTCATGCTATCTCCATAATATTTTCTCTTATTGCTATAGCAACTACAACCCAAAAAAGGGAAACATGAACATCAGACTTCAGTGGGCAAATACACGATTTAACCCCAAATTCCCAAGGATGCCATCCATCACTGAATTCTAGGCTCTTCCAAGGACCTAAGCCCCCTGCAGAGCCCAGTGGGCAGAGCTCTGTGCTCCAGACCAGGAGCTTCCTGCACATCTTTCATTAAAATGTCCCTACTCCTGTCCCGCTCTACATGCACTGCCATGCAACCATTAAGTTAACATCATAAACTGATACACACTGAAGAACTCATGACTTTTTTGTATGTGTGTACATACACACACACACACGAGCATGTCCATGTTAGCAGTAAGTAGGGTAAAAGGTCAGAAAGGGTATTTACTAAACAATTAACGGTAATTATTTTTGGGAGGGAAGGAGTGGATTTTCACATTGTTATATAACTTTTTATATGATAGGAATATGGGTAATTTCTTACTTTTTTGAGCTTTTTGGAATTTTTCATATTAACTGAAATTTAACATCCGTCTTTACCCAAATGGTAGAAAATTCAGGCAGAATCAATAAGAGATAGTTGTAAGCCCTACAAATCTACTCTTCATATAGAAAAGGCCTAAGGTGGGCAGCCCGGGTGGCTCAGCAGTTTAGAGCCGCCTTCAGCCCAGGGTGTGATCCTGGAGACCCGGGAGTGAGTCCCACGTTGGGCTCCCTGCATGGAGTCTGCTTCTCCCTCTGCCAGTGTCTCTGCCTCCCTCCCTCTCTCTCTGTGTCTCTCATGAATAAACAAAAATAAAATCTTAAAAAAAAAAAGAAAAGGCCTAAGGAGAAATATTACTTGGGAGCATAGGCTTATTAAACCAGAACTATATGTTTTAAGCTCTGTACCTCCCATGCCCTGTACCCTGTTTAAGATCCGAAGCTATCTTCCAAAGCCTCTATCCTGTTTTGAATCTGAACTCTATCAGAACTATTAGGTAACAAAACATGACATCTTTAACAGAACAGGTGATACCAACCTCTGAGATAGCTTTTTGGATAGCGCTCCAGTGAGAATCAGTTCTGGGGGGGCAAAACAGCAAGGTGAGTGCACAGATAGCTCATGCCTATTTACTCATTTTGGGAGTGTCCTTAATAAAAGAACAGAGTACTTAATTGTTAATAAGTTATAAAAACTAAGAAGTCTCTAAATGAAACCAAGATAGAATAAGATCATGCACTAAAAATAATCATGAAATTAAGGTAGTACTGATCTTTAAGCAAACAGTAACATGAAAAGCACTGTTCTCAAACTACCAAGTTGCCTCTGTTTCAAGAAATTCTGGAATTATTTACAATAGGAAAAATAAAGAGTTTTCTTAAACTCACTGTGCTATCCTCTCACACCTTTTACCTTTGTTTAACTTCTTCCCCTCCTGCTGTTTGGTCTCCCACTTCTACATCTTCTTCACTGTCTTCTTCTTCACTTGTGTCTTGACCTTCTTCTTTATTATAGGGCTGAAAATTATTGAAATATGAAATGCTTTTTACCTAATGCAAAAATCAACCAATAAAAATACTTTCAGGAAGGCTCAACTATAGATGGGAATGTATACAATGGGTATATCAAAAATCAGTGGGAAAAAGATTTCAACACATTGTTGATAACTTCACTATTTGCAAAGATTACAACGATAGAGGTAGAGAGTAAGTTTAATCAAAATAAATTCCAGATGGAATTTATTCCAATGAATAAAAAAGAAGATAGAAATAAAAGAACTATAAGTGTTAGAAGAAAATAATGTTGAGATGGGGAAGTCCTTTCCAATTGTAATACCCAAACCAAAAATCATAAATGGAAACACTGACAGACTTAGCAACATAAAAAAATAACCATGTCTAAAAGTCAACAAAGATATCTGTCACAGATTTTTAAGAGTTAATACCTTTATTCTGAAAATATTATAATAGTCTTATAAATCAACACATTTAAAAAATCTCTTTAAAAATGGTCAAAAAACTGAAAAAAAAGCGATTTACAAAGATGTGGAAATGGTCATAAAGTGTATGAAATGATGTTTAATCTTATTAGCAGTACAATGAATATAAATCAAAACAACAATGAGCCTCTTTTGGCCTACCACACTGGCAAAAAGATTGGTGGCAACCACCTCTGGCACATAGTATGGGGAAACAAGTATTCTCACATGCTGGGGGTGGGAGTACAAATAAATATAACTTCTCTGAAAGGCAAAATAGCAAACTAAATCAAAATATAAAGGTATAAATCTTTTGAACCAGCAACGAGCACCTAGGAGTTTATCTGAGGGGAATAAATCAGACAAATCTACAAAGATGTCTGTGTGGAATGATCACAACACAGGTTGCTGGTTGTCTACCACTTAACCTCGACCACTTCTTTTCTAACAGAATTTCTGATTTTAGCAATGAGCCAGCTAAAAGTCTACATTTTCCAAACCCTCCTTACAGCTGGGTGTTACCAGGAGACTCAATTATGATCAAGGTGATACCACCAGAAGTTCTTTGTGTAAATTCCAGAAAACCATCTTAAAAAGGTAGCAGGTCATGCCTTTAGACATCTTATTCTCCTTCTTTTGCTTCTTGAAATCATTAGAAGATCTAGCAACCAACGTACACTAAAGAGATAGCCCTTGGGGAAAAAAAAAAAAGAGAGAGAGAGAGAGAGAGATAGCCCTTGGAAGATCTGACTCCCACTTTAGTATAGAGTAAAATATTAGATGCAGCCTTCACCACTGCCTCCCCCTACACTTACTCCATGCACAAGAGAAATATGCATCTACCTTATTTAAGCCACTATTTGGGGGGACCTTTTGTATCTCATAGTAGAAGCTAACTATAGCTCCATGCAACATAATTTATAGTTCTTATAGGTTGGAAACAACATGTCCATCTACATGAAATTGGAATACTACTATGCTACCATTGAAAAGGATGATTTAAACCTGAACTGTGCAATATGGCAGCCATTTGCCATGTGTGGCTTATTGCTACTTGAAGTGTGATTAGTTCAAACTGAGATGTGCTATTTAGGTGTAGAGTACACACTGGAATTTGAAGAATTGGTTTAAAAAAAAGAAAAATTTTAAGAATATTAATAGATTGAAATGATAGTATTTTGATATAAGTAAAATAGTTTATTAAAAATAATGTCACCTGTTTTTATCCTTTTTTAAAAATGCATGTGGTATAATAAAAATGTATATATATTTATTTATATTTATATATATTATCTTTATTCCCAGTTCCTAAAACTTTTGGCAAGAGTTCCTAAAACTTTGCCAGAGGAACCAATGATGTGATTAGAGGGTTAGAACTTTCAGGGCACCACCACTACCACCCTTCTCACCTTCAGTGAGCATAAAAGAGCAAGAAACTGAATTCAATCACCAATGGCCAATCACTTAATCAATCACACCTAATACCTCCATAAAAATCTCTAAAAGACAGGGGATAGGGAGCCTTCCAGCTTGGTGACCACGTATAAGTGCTGTGCTCAGTGTTGGGAGGGGGGTGCCCAGAGGGGGCATGGAAGGAGTCTTCCATCTTCCAATACCTTACCCTAGCCACATCTCCCATTTGGCTGTTCCTGAGCTGTAGCCTTTCTAATAAACTGGTAAACACAAGCAAGGCGTTCTCCTAGTTCTGTGAGTCCCTCTAGCAAATAACCAAAACAGAGGAGGCATGTGGGAACTGAGTTCACAGGGGGTCACTCAGAAGTACAAGTGGCCTCTGGGACTTGTGACTGGCATCTGAATTAGGGCAGCTCGTGGGGTGAGCCTTTAGCTTGAGGGGTCTATGCTAACTCCAGGAGTTAGTGTCAGAATTGAGTTGAACTGCTGGACACCTGATTGGTTTTAGAGAACTGGTGCAGAAAAATGATACATATTTGGTGTTAGAGAAAAATCATACAATTAATGTTAGAAGTGGTATCAGAAAAAGAAGACATCTCAGTGGTTATGGGAAAATTGTAAATACATTTGTAGTTTGCATTCTTTTTCTATTGGATAGCGCTGATCCAGACAGATATCAAAATATACTGGCAAAGACAATGACCATGCTATATAATGAAATATTAAAAAATAGGCTTCAAACACATTTATATAGTATGTGTACATTCTAGTAAGGGATCATATTTTAGTGGAAGTTAACACAAAGTTAACTGTGGCTTTGTTTGACAACAAATAATAAACTTATTGATTTTTATGAACAGTATCAATCCACAAAGCACTTTGTGTCAAACATTCTAGGTCTCACCTACAAATATCCCAGCACTTCATAGGTCTCCAGGACTGTTAACACACAAGATTTTTCCCATGCCCTGTCCCTCTAAAATTTTAATAAATTCTGTATCTCAAGTCATTCACTAGCCAAATGATCAAAGAATACAACTTAATATTTTATTAAAAATGAAGACAAGTTTTGAGAAAAATTTTAATGGAAAAAAGTTTTGAAAAGAGAAAAAAGGGAAAGAATAAACAATAAAGACTAACCTCCACGTAGGTTCTGGGAATGAGACCTTTGTTTCCTTTAGCATTCTTAGCTATCCACCAACCATCAGGTTTTTTTTCAATTATAAGGAGAATTTCCCTTTTCTTAAATCAAAACAAAGTAAAAAATTTTTAAATTAAAATTTACCCCCAAATTAGGAATAATCACCACTGAAACTATTTTCAAAAACAGAATAGCATTTCACCATTTTCCTACCAGGTAACTTTGATAACATAATTTCACATGACTAGTACCTGTAAATCATAATTTTTACTTATTTTGGTAAAACAGACTGAGTCTTTAAAAACAATACAGGCATGTGCAATATAGGTAAATAGGCAGGGTTTTCTTATTTTGTCAGGCATGCAAACTCATCCTTAGGTCAGGTTTTAGTTTTGTTTCTACCTTAAATGTAAGATCCCCAGCTTGCTGAGCAGTAAAATCTCCAACGGCAATGTATTCTTTACTTGTTGCCTGGTGGTGGGATTCATTTTCCTGTTTCTCTTCCTCTTCCTCTTCTGTTTCTTCTTCCTCCCCACCACCTTCTTCACTCTCTTCTTCCTCCTCCTCCTCCTCTTCTTCTTCAGCTTCTTCCTCTTCGTCAGCAGATTTGTTATCTTCCTCTCTTTCAGTAAGTGCCCTGATTCTGTGAAAAGTAGTTCTATGATAAGGATCACTTGAAATAACATATAAGAATCAAGTATAACTTCTACACAGAGAAGACCCTGCCCATATTTGGAACTGGGCAAATAAGGGAAATAAGGAGAAAGCACAACTCATGGTTTCTACCACCTAGCTAACAATATGTGACTTGAGGGACTGAGCAGTGAAGGAGTTAATATGACAGACAGAGCATGCACGGGACTTGAGGCTGAGGGACCTGAGACTATGGGACCTTGGGACCTGTATTCAAATCTTGGATTCATCTACTCAGCAAATGCTGCTTGAGCACTTTAACACAGAGGTTAGAGCACAGGCTCTGAATTTCCATTCTGGCTCTGTCTTCCCCTCACTGAGTGACCTTGGATAGGCTTCTTTTAAGCTTTCCATTTCTCATTGGTAAAGTGAAGGTAATAATAGAATCTGCCTCACAGGACTGTCATGAAGATTACATGAGTTACAAATTTGCAGGGGGTTTAGAACAGTGCCTGCTAGTCGCAAGTTTTTTAATAGAAGTCAGCTATGATGGTGATAATGATGTATGTCAGGTCCATGTCAAACACAGTGGATACAAAGGTAAACCAGGTAAACAATTCCCTGTCCCCAAGGAGCTCACAGTGAGACAATCTAGAAAGTGGATAATTACAATATGGTTTGGTAGGTACATTAGAGGTATATACAGGATACTAAGAAAACACACAGAGGATCACTTGACCTACACTGCATGGGGTGGGGATCAGGAAAGGCTTCAAATTAGGTCTGGAGAGGGGTGCCTGGGTGGCTCAGTCAGTTAAGCAATTGCCTTCAGCTCAGGTCATGGTCCCAGGGTCTTGGGATCCAGCCATTGTAGAGCCCAGCACTGAGCCTCATTCAGTGGGTAGCCTGCTTCTCTCTCTCCCTCTGCCTACCCCCTGCTGCTCCTGCTCTCTTGCTCAAATAAACAAAAATTTTATTTAAAAAAATAGTTGTAGGACACACTATCACAATGACCTAAACATAAACAGTAGCTCCACAAAATTTTTACACTATAAAAATAAAAATTCATAAAATATGTCATATTGATTTTCAATGTGCCCTTTTCCTTTTTTAGGAGATCTTTCGCACATATTTTATATCTTAAATGTAATAGAAAAATGTAACAGAAATGAGTCAACTATTCTAAAATGTTGCCAAGGATAATGGGCACAGAGTGCTGTGCCAGTTTGCATTTCCACCAACACTGCAAGGGGGTTCCCCCTTCTCCACATCTTCTCCAACATTTGTTGTTTCCTGTCTTGTTAATTTTCCCCATTCTCACTGGTGTGAGGTGGTATCTCATTGTGGTTTTGATTTGTATTTTCCTGATGGCAAGTGATGCAGAACATTTTCTCATGTGCTTGTTGACCATGTGTACATCTTCTTTGGTGAAATTTCTGTACATGTCTTCTGCCCATTTCATGATTGGCTTGTTTGTTTCTTGGGTGTTGAGTTTAGTAAGTTCTTTATTGATCTTGGATACTAGCCCTTTATCTGATATGTCATTTGCAAGTATCTTCTCCCATTCTGTACGTTTGTCTTTTAGTTTTGTTGACTGTTGTTTTTTTTTTTTTTTTTTTTTTTGCTGTGCAGAAGCTTTTTATTCTGATTAAGTCCCAACAATTCATTTTTGCTTTTGTTTCCCTTGCCTTCATAGATGTATCCTGCAAGAAACTGTGGCCAAGTTCAAAAAGGTTGTTGCCTGTGTTCTCCTCTAGGATTTTGATGGATTCTTGTCTCACATTTAGTTCTTTCAGCCATTTTGAATTTATCTTTGTGTATGGTGTAATTTTCCATCTTTTCTTCTACTTTAAAAAATTAATCATTATTTAGAAGTCCCTGTCAGCTACTTTTTTTTTCTAGTTCAAATCTAAGTCTCCTTTTATTTACTGCCTTCTTACTTAATTACTGATTATTCTTTTGTACTTCTAGTAGTTCTTTTATTAGTGGATACTGTGGATGAGACATTTAGAGACTTTAGATTATGTCATCTTCCTTTACAGAGTGTTGAATCTTATTCTGTTACACCATTAAATCATCATGTTTCTGTTAAGGTCTGGTTTTAGGCTTGGACAAGATCTACTTCAGTCTTTAAGACCACAGTTCTTAATATTATGGTATTTTTATTACTCCTAATACAGCAATGACAATGACAGCATGACTAAGGCCTTCTGTGATCTCCACTAAATGCCTGAAGCATTCACCAAGGTCTCATTACTCTAACTAGGTACAAATTTCAGTATTTCTCCAGGATTGCTTGACTTCCAGAATCTTTTAAGCTCTTAGTCTCTTAGCAGGTACTTCCTGCCAGTGCTTCTGGAATCATGCTCTGTGTAGCCCAGCAATCTATTTAGATTTTCCTAGTTGTCTCTAGCAACACCCTTCTTTCTCCCCACAAGTTCCAATGGCCTTAGGAACCCCCAAAATTTGATTTCTGCCTCCTGAGCTCAGTGACACTGCTGCTTCCTGTTTAGGATCCACCTTCCTGTACCACAGCCTGTAAATTTTCCCCAGAGATAGGGTCTGGGTGAATGTAGACCTTAGCCCCTGTGTTTTCCTGTATTAAGGACATCAGCCCTGGGATCCCTGGGTGGTGCAGTGGTTTGGCGCCTGCCTTTGGCCTAGGGCGCGATCCTGGAGACCCGGGATCGAATCCCACGTCAGGCTCCCGGTGCATGGAGCCTGCTTCTCCCTCTGCCTGTGTCTCTGCCTCTATCTCTCTCTCTGTGACTATCATAAGTAAATAAAAATTAAAAAAAAAAAAAAAAAAAAAAAAAAAGGACATCAGCCCTGCTTGGCTGATGTTCATTGACTTCGACCAGCTGTTTTGTATATTTTGTCTGGATTTTATGGTTTTTGTTTTGTTTTTGATTTTATAGTTTTTATGGTAGGATGGTTAAGTCCAAAACCAGCTACTTTGTACTAGATATCAGTGGGAACTCTAGAATCCTTGGATCTACATCCTTTAGCATTTTCCCTAAGCTATAGTGTGAAAGTATGGCAACAGTACTTGAAGACTCTAAGGAGTTAATTTTTTCCTTTTTGCTTTCCAGAAATCTAGTTTATTTATACCATCAAGTTTTCTTTCCACTTTGCAAAGGCTATTAATAACATATACCACAACAGAAAAACAATGCATATTTTTTGCCTCCAGTTTTTAAAGAATATTTAGGGAAAAAGAAAGCAAATAGACCATCCAAATAATTTCTTTTTATGTATCAATACTGACATTAAAGGCATCCTTATTTTGTAACACTTGTTTAGTTTTTCAGACCTCTCTTTTGTTTCTCCAACTAGATAATAAATTGCCTAAGACAGAGGTAATGACTTCTATATCTTTACATTTTTTATACAATCTAAGACTTTCTACTATACGCTATAAAATGTCAGCTGATTATACTTGCTATCACCATTTCTTTGTATCTATACTCTTACTATGTCTTTATTCTGAGTCAAACATTAAACGTGTGGGTGACATAATGTCTGAGAGAAAGAAAGGAAGGAAAGAAGCATACTCAGTTATATTTTCTCTACTTATGGACACAGCAAGTTCTTGCAGTTGGTGGGTAAGCTTATCCAAAAGACTGTGCTCCTCCTCTTTTTTCTGATTATAGTTCCCGATGGGTGCAGTTTCATCAGCCTATGAGAGAATATAAGTTTATTTCACTGAAAAATTTAATTTCAGTTTCCTATCATATTTATTTTAGAAGGGAAATAATACTCTGGTAAATTCTAGAAGACAAAGTAAATGTCAACATGAGACTAGGCCTACCTTAGAGAAATCAGATTAAAAGAAATGTAGATTATTATATTGAAATGTAACCCAAAGTTAAAAATAAAGTTATACTTGGTTTTTTGTTTAGTTTCTTTGCTATCTATTTCAGACCCTCTACAGTGAGTAAGAGATAGGTTCTAGACAAAAGATAGGCTTTGGAGTTAAAAAGATGGGTGTCAATCCCAAGTTCTGCCACTTATTGGCAGTGAGACATTAAGAAAGCTGCTTCACCTTTGGGAGACTCAAGTTTCCTCACCCGAGAAACAGGATAATTAGATTTCAAATTTAGGGTCAGCCTGCCTTCTAAATTCAAGAGTTTTGTATCACTGAAATACAGACACTCACATGCAGGTAGGGAGATGACTTTTAGATGCCTTCCACTTTAAATGTTCTGTGAGTTTCTGGACCAGGACACCTAGTTTAAGATCAAGCTCATACTAAAAGGGAAGATCCTGAAGGGATTTCCAAGAGTTAATCCTAGTTTCTCCTATTTCTGCAGAGTCACTGATATTAGAGCTGCCATGTGATACAAGAAACTTCTCTACACCTTACCCTCATGACCAGATTATGTACTCTCCCCAGAGAGTAATTAAAATTAAAACAACTCCAAACTATAAAACATAAAACTTACACAATACAAAAATAAAAATAGCTTCTTCTTGGATTTTCTGGGTCCTCTATGCTGGGTAAATTCACCAAAGCTGAACTTTTCTCAGCGTTCAGAGCCCCAGCTTTTCTGCTCTAAAGCACATATTCAGTAAGCCAGTTGGGCAAACTGGCACTGATCACAGTTAGACTTCACCACCATGAAAACAAATCCAGGGACTTACCCACTCTAATGAATTCCCACTTAATGAGAACAACTGTATAAAAACCGGTTTTTTTTTTTGTAATATCATTAACTGTAATACTTACTTTGTTTAATTTTTGAAGAGCATTTTTATTTTCATCTATTGCCTGTTTTAATTGGATACATCTAAATTTTCAAAAAAAAAAGAAAAAAGTATTAATTGTTCTATTGTCAGACTAGAAAGTTACCTTATAAAATCATACATAAGTCTTTAAGCTGTCAAGGCAATTAGCTATTGTATGAATGATGTTAAACAATTCACCTGTAACTGCTTTTCCACCCACCAGCTTGGGTGATCCTCACATGCTCTAAAGTACTCAGGTAGGACAGTCAAGACTCAGAAAGCTGGTGTGCCTCTGAGCTTCAGTTTCCTATCTCTAAAATAAGGATAGCATTGGATTTCAAAATGCTTCTCCAGCTCTAAAATTCCATAAACCTAGGACCTGGTCTAGAAGACATCCCTAAGGATGATAATGACCAAGTGCATTGTGCGTCATGCATAATTCTAGGCACTGCGCAAGCACCACCTCATTTGAGCCTCATACCAACTCTGGCTGTAGTAGAAGGATGTGAGATTCAAAGGAGAGGACACAACTGGTCAATGGTACAACATGCGAAGATAGAGTTTAAGACTCCGCATCTGGTCTTTTCCCACCACAGCACATTCCCCTTTTAAGCTTGCTCGGCCTATCTAGATGGGTATAATATTTTAATTATTCCAAAGATGGCCCATAAAATGTAGCTTAAGGCTTAGACCCAAATAAGAAGTATAAAAATGACTGGAAATGGGCTATATCTAATAATGACAGTTATCAAAATTCACATGTTTTCTCAAAAAATAACCTGAGTCAATATTTTTTTATGCTGTTTGCTATTTTTTTTTCCTTAGAGAAACTAATGAAATGAAATAAGTAGCAAAAAAGGAGACAAAAGTCCTTTGTGAAAGAGACTGAAAAGAAGTGAAAATATCAAACTATAGTTGACCCTGCCAGTTACTTACCCAAAAGCCCTTCCACAATCTACATCTATGCTGACAGGCTCAGCCCCTCATTGACACTGACACTTAAGTGCTCAGAATCTACTGCAGGTAGGGTGGGTGTACAGCCCACCACTGGCCAACAAAACTTGAAAGAAATATGTTGGGCACTGCCTCCCATTTTATCCTCCCTGGTGCAGCACTTAAAGAATCATTCACCCTTTCTGCTTTTAGATACAGATACCTGAGGACTTTGTAAAGGTGAGGGAAGCCATCACTGGCTAGATGAGGATGACAGAGCATGATGAGAGCAAAGGTTGGTCGTTGAGGACATCACGAGCCATTTATCCACCCTGAGAGAGCCTACTTCCAGACTTTTTGTGGAATGAGACTGTAGAGCCACTAATTTTAATAGGTACCCTGTTACACAGACCAAAAGAATCCTAACTAAAACTTAGACTCGAAAATTTCACTTAAGAGCCAGAGAAGAAAACTATATAACAAACTGTTTATTAAAATGATCTCCTTTGTATCTAGAACATTACTAAAATCCTCAAACTGTTCAGATATTTTAAGATTTCTGGGTCAGCAGGGCAATTTACACGTTTAATGCAATCCCTATCAAAATACCATGGACTTTCTTCAGAGAGTTAGAACAAATTATTTTAAGATTTGTGTGGAATCAGAAAAGACCCCGAATAGCCAGGGGAATTTTAAAAAAGAAAACCATATCTGGGGGCATCACAATGCCATATTTCAGGTTGTACTACAAAGCTGTGGTCATCAAGACAGTGTGGTACTGGCACAAAAACAGACACATAGATCAATGGAACAGAATAGAGAATCCAGAAGGGGACCCTGAACTTTATGGTCAACTAATATTCGACAAAGGAGGAAAGACTATCCACTGGAAGAAAGACAGTCTGTTCAATAAATGGTGCTGGGAAAATTGGACATCCACATGCAGAAGAATGAAACTAGACCACTCTCTTGCACCATACACAAAGATAAACTCAAAATGGATGAAAGATCTAAATGCGAGACAAGATTCCATCAAAATCCTAGAGGAGAACACAGGCAACACCCTTTTTGAACTTGGCCACAGTAACTTCTTGCAAGATACATCCACGAAAGCAAAAGAAACAAAAGCAAAAATGAACTATTGGGACTTCATCAAGATAAGAAGCTTTTGCACAGCAAAGGATACAGTCAACAAAACTAAAAGACAACCTACAGAATGGGAGAAGATATTTGCAAATAACATACCAGATAAAGGGCTAGTTTCCAAAATCTATAAAGAACTTCTTAAACTCAACAGCAAAGAAACAAACAATCCAATCATGAAATGGGCAAAAGACATGAAGAGAAATCTCACAGAGGAAGACATAGACATGGCCAACATGCACATGAGAAAATGTTCTGCATCACTTGCTATCAGGGAAATACAAATCAAAACCACAATGAGATACCACCTCACACCAGTGAGAATGGGGAAAATTAACAAGGCAGGAAACAACAAATGTTGGAGAGGATGCGGAGAAAAGGGAACCCTCTTACACTGTTGGTGGGAATGTGAACTGGTGCAGCCTCTCTGGAAAACTGTGTGGAGGTTCCTCAAAGAGTTAAAAATAGACCTGCCCTATGACCCAGCAATTGCACTGTTAGGGATTTACCCCAAAGATTCAGATGCAATGAAACGCCGGGACACCTGCACCCCGATGTTTCTAGCAGCCATGTCCACAATAGCCAAACTGTGGAAGGAGCCTCGGTGTCCATCGACAGATGAATGGATAAAGAAGATGTGGTTTATGTATACAATGGAATATTCCTCAGCCATTAGAAACGACAAATACCCACCATTTGCTTCAACGTGGATGGAACTGGAGGGTATTATGCTGAGTGAAGTAAGTCAATCGGAGAAGGACAAACAGTGTATGTTCTCATTCATTTGGGGAATATGAATAATAGTGAAAGGGAATATAAGGGAAGGGAGAAGAAATGTGTGGGAAATATCAGAAAGGGAGACAGAACATAAAGACTCCTAACTCTGGGAAATGAACTAGGGGTGGTGGAAGGGGAGGAGGGCAGGGGGTGGGGGTGAATGGGTGACGGGCACTGAGGGGGACACTTGACGGGATGAGCACTGGGTGTTATTCTGTATGTTGGTAAATTGAACACCAATAAAAATTAATTTATTAAAAAAAAAGATTTCTGGGTCAGGATAAAAACTCAAGTACGTGCTCATCTTCACCACCTCCTGAGACCCCACAAAAAATGATTAAAACATCTTAAAAGGTAATAAACCCTGAATGTAGGAGAGTGAAAGAGGGACCACCTGTCAGAAAGACATTTCAAAATATTTCTGCTGAATGGAAAAAAGGTAGAAATGTGTTCTTCTAAAAAGAAAGTAAGAAGTCTCTAAAAGGGACAAGATCCACCAGGCAGTGAACACCATGATTTGGGTCAGCAGGTAGGAAGGACTGGGGAGGGAGGGGTAATTAAAATGTGTCTAAGGGAATGAATGTATTATGAAGTTCTACAGGTGAAGACATCCACAATGGCTGGGATTTGCTTTACATATTATGTTACATTATATTATATTAATTAAATGATATCCATAATATCTAAACCATAAAAGCAATCAATCTTAAGGCAACCTAAGAGCTTTATAGATAGTATCTAGGGAGAGAGTAAAGATACTGATTAAGTTTAGATTTAATTAACGCCCTTTTATAAGAAGTCTGCCTTTTTAAAAAGTCTGTTCACAGAAAACCTGAGCCAGCTAGCATCCCCTTTCTCTTATCTTACCTCCCTCTGTTCTCCCACCTTACCAGAGGATTGTCTCTAAAAAGTACAATTAATGAATGACCTGGGGAGAATTACAGTTGCCAAATAAGTTCCCCATACACCAGGATTAAGGCCCACTCTATTTTGGCAATGGGCACTCCTCGGCCCAACAGCTAGTTCCTAGCCCCCCAGAAAACCCTGCCCACGTACAAAGAACTTCATTCTCACTCAAGGGGTAATAATGTAGGAAAAAGACCTATACCTACAACAGCATAAGAATCCTGGACTGCTGTCTGGAATAATCAAACTACTCCCTCATTCTTAAATAAAAATAGATAACCCAAAGACCACCAGATATAATAAAGAAAACCAGCAACATGAAGTTAAATTTAAGACTAACTAAAATTAAATAAATAAATCATTGGAATCCAGAGGAATGGAAGACAAGAGAACCTCCCAGGTGTGAACAAAAAGAGAAACAAAAACTTTTAATGAGGAGATAGGAGACTACAAAGAAGAGTCCAGGATGTTCAATACCTGATGCAAAGGTGTTTCAGGAAGAAATAGACAAACAGAAGTAAAATAATAAATAAATAAAAAGATCTTTTGGTAAAAGAAATTTCCCAGAAGCTCATGAGGGACAAGAATTTCTAGTTGGAAAGACCCACTGAGCATTTAGCAGGATGAAATTTCAAAGCAAGACTGAAGAGACAAGCCCCAAACAGGTCAATTATAAAGCAACAATCATCAAACTTATTCACACTACTGAGTACAAAGAAACCTGACAATGTCTTCAAAGGTTTAAGATAAATAATTTTTACCGTATAACAAGCCAATTAATGAAACATAGGGGTTGATGTTTTCAAACATACAAGTGTCCATGAGAATTTTTAAATGACTATGATGGCGATCTTTTTACATGAAGAAGACTATTTATGGTTACGTGGGTTTAAAAATAATTATCACTTATTAAAATAAAATTTTAAAACCTAGTTTTCCCTAGGACTTCAAGTTTAGCCTATAAATCTTATTCTATTTGAAAATCTAGTAAAGCAAGTATAATCACTTTCACTTTTTCTTTATTATTTGATTATCTCAATGTGAACTGAATTTCTTAATCAATCCTAATAAATGCAGCTAATTAAGTTCCCTTCAACATTTTAAAATTCAGTTAAATTTTATTTTGCTTTTTAGCACTTTGAATGCTTAAAGTAAGTAAATTTTTTTCAAATGGTTCAAGTGAATCATTTAAACTAATAAAATGAATTTCATGTTCCTTTGAATGTTATGTACTGTTTTAAATACCCAAAGCATACAGATTATCTTAATGATGTCCTAAATTGAATATGAAAGTATGAATAGACTAATTCGATTTAGTTCATCATGTCCATGTAATTTTAAACTTGATTTAATTTTGATCTCTCCTAGGGATTAAAGAAGTCAAAACAGAACAAAACACACCCTCTGAAAGAATAGTTTTCCTATGTCAAGGGAGTTAAGGTCACCATCCCAAGTAAGGCAAGACTGCTAAGAAGAGTTTTCTGACCAGATCCCAGGATCCGAGGCTACAGTAGGACAAAGATCTACCATAATTCTGCCTCAGCCACTATGTTGACACTGAACAGTTTTTATAGTTGCTGTCACAAAAGCCAAGTCCATAACTTTCAGGTTTAGCTTAATTTTTTTTAGATCCAAGTTATATCATGATGTAATTTTTTCATTTGATTCAAATGGATCAATGCCTCCAATTCCAATGAGACTGCAGTGAAATTCTCTTTTCCTTGACTGAATTTCACATTTCTCAGCAGTCTTCAAATATGTTTATTGCCGGCCCACTTTAATGTCCTCTAGCAAAGTCATGGTAGACATGTTAACAAACCACTGTGGGAACCTTAATTTTCTCAACTATGTTAAAAAGTATCTCATGGTGTTATTGTGAAAATTAATCAGGAAAGAGGTTTTAAGAGTGTGGACCACACTGCTTGGAACATGCAGAGTAGAGAATAAATGTAAATTGCTGCTTTTTAACTTTTGTAATTCTCTATTTAATCATTCCACTATTAGACCTGGGAAATACAGATAATTGCAAGAAATATTTTAAAATAAATTTTGGAAAATTTCGTTCATTGTTATCTTAGTATTAATTTCCATTATTATTCTGTCTTTTTAGGAATTGTCCATAAAAAAGGAAAGAAATAACACCTCAGACAATTTCTATGCTATAAATACTGCCCACTGAAATGTAAGTATTGTGTCTGGATAGCTTATATAATTCAGTATGTAATTTACCTTTGGTAAATATTTCTCCGTTTACTGGCATCTAGAGTTCCTTTCAATTGACTCTCAGAAAGCAAGCTACCAACCTACAATAAATAGAGACTGTTAGAATATATTGTTAAGTACCATATAACCTCAGGAAATAAAATTTTAATTCTCTTTTCCCAATATTTCACAACAAACACTTTTAAACATACAACGAAGTATGTAAAGAATTAAATTTCACAGTGAACTTCCATATAACCACTACCTAGATTCTACCATTAACATTTTACTTACACCTTTTTGATCCATCCATTCATCCATTTGTCTTATTTTTTATGTATTTCGAAGTAAACTGTAATCCTCATAATTGATGCACCACAGATATCACTAATGAAAGTTCAATGTCAGTGTAAAATTTACATACAATGAAATGCACATATCTTAAATATACATTTGCTAAATTTTGGCAAATGCATACACCCATATAACTCTAACCCCTATCTACATACAGAAAATTACCAATACCCCAGAAAGGATGAACTCTTTTGTGTCATCCTTTCACATAGCACGTTCTTGAGATACTGCCATATACAATCATTAGTTTATTCCTTCATACTGCTCAGTAGTATTCTATGAATATGTCACAAGTTTATCTTCATTCTTGTATCTTACGCCTTGACTTAGCATTTTCCAAACACTACCTGTAACTTTGCCAATGTACCCCAAAATAAATATGTAAATACACATTTACATATGTAATAACAACATACTCATATGTTCTTTTCTAAAGATGATGTGAAAAAGAAGTGGATGAAAGAAGAGAAACTAAAATTCACTAGCTTCTTCTCTTTCTATTTTGCATCTGAGTGTTAGTTACAAATTGACAGCTGGAGACAGAGTCAGTTATAACAGGTATGACCCAAATGGGTTCTTGATTACTTGTCCATGGACACCAAGTTGGAAATCTGTTCTTTTTTTTTTTTTTTTTTTGCTTCAAGTGTCACACTATCAAAGAGTCCCTCCCAGATACTTAGGCTATCAGAAGACTCCTGGGCCAAGTCTTCTTCAGGTCAGCTAATCTTTTTGATTGTTTTGTTTCATTTTTGTTTTAGTAAGTTTTTTGTAATTTACTTCTGAAACTTTCCTGGTTCTCCTAATATCCCACTAAATTTAAAATCGGAATCAGAACCTTATTAAGCACCTAGACAAAGTTCACTGAAGTCAAAACCTCACGAAGTTTTATTTCTGACAGAAGAGTATTTTCTTTTTATTGCACCACCGTAAAATCTAAACATCACTTATGAAATATTTATCCATCAAATTGTTGTAGTTTTTAAATGAGAGTCCAAAACAGGAACAAATATAAGCATTCACTAAATTTCTTGTCTATCGAAGACTAGAAAATAATTTTATTTAGTAATAGATCAAACAAAAAAGTACAATTAGCAAAGTGAAATAAGAATTTTGGAAAATAGGGATCCCTGGGTGGCGCAGCGGTTTGGCGCCTGCCTTTGGCCCGGGGCGCGATCCTGGAGACCCTGGATCGAATCCCACATCAGGCTCCCGGTGCATGGAGCCTGCTTCTCCCTCTGCCTGTGTCTCTGCCTCTCTCTCTCTCTCTCTCTCTCTCTCACTGTGTGCCTATCATAAATAAATAAAAATAAAGATAAAAATAAAAAAAAAAAAAAAAAAAAAAGAATTTTGGAAAATAAATTAACAAACCATTAATTACGACTTACTTTTTCTCCTCTTTCAAGTCATATACATTTGGTGTTCAAAATCATGAAAACATCAAAAAGTATTAAGAGAAACATAATAATCATCAGCATTCTAGCATACACAGTTACCATCCTGGGATGTTTCCTTCAATCTTTTTTTCTATGTATATTAGATACGAAATAATTTTACTGAAATATTGTCTATTTAATTTTATGTTTTATATTCCTTTTCTAACTTGACATTTTATCAAAAATATCTTCCCTATACATGAAAATTTCTTTTCACAAAATTTTAATACTATTATATCCCAACCTAAGTTATTTATCCATTCCCTTATTATTGATCATTTAAGTGATATCCAGCCTTTTCCAAGTAACAGTGATGAACACTTTTACACATTAAATTCTGTCCCAATAATTTTTTTTTACTATTATGTATGGCAAATCCCTAGAAATGTAATTACCCAGCCTAGGAGCATGACTAATTCGCTACATCTTGTCAAACTGCTTTCCAGAAATGCTGTACGTTATACTCTGGAGCAGTGTATATAAGTGTTTCATCACACTCTCCCCAGGACTGAGTATTATGATTTTTTAAATGTTTGTGATATTTTATTTCCTGGGCAGTTACTTGATTATTTTTTAAATTAACTTTTCTCATGTTTATGACTTCTTTGTACTTCTTCTTTGGTTCATGTCCTTGGCTAATTTATCGGATCCTAATATTTTTCTTACGTATTAGGACTATTCTTTGATACCTTTTTCGTTTGAGTTCATGTGAAGCAAAAATAGCCTCCACTGGGAGACGGCTCAAAGGTTAGGGGGCACGGAGAAAGCAAAAGGCGCAGAGATGGTTGGAAAGGTTGTTGTTTTAGATTTGGGACGTGAGGTGGGTTAAAGGAGTTGCTAGGATGGAGCTTGAGAAGCGAGGGAGCGGGCGCTTAGTCTATGCTCACGATTTTCCGGAGGCTCAGTTTCCCCAGGGATGGGCTTAGGAGCCGGAAGGGTTGGAATCAGGGTTAGTGCCGGGATGCTGGGGTGGGGGAGGGAGCGCTATAACTCGGGAAGGTGCGTGGTGGGTTGGGGTAGGCTCCCAGGATTAGGGTGCACCCCAGATCTCGCCCGCCGCCAGAACCCAGGCCACCTAGCGCTGCCCAGGCCCCCGGCTGGGCAGTCAGACCATACCTGTAGCTTCAATTCCTGACTGCGGCGCTGCAGGGCCTGCAGACGATGGCTCTGCCGCCGAGCCAGCATCTCCCTCGCCTCGGCGCTCAGCGCTCAGCGCTCACCGGTCGCCAGGGAAACCAGGCGGCGGCGTGGGAAGGTGACGCAATCATGGCGCGCCCGCCTCGCAGCCCCGCGGCGGGGAGGTGGGGGACGGATGGAAGAGGAACGTGGAGGTCGTCGTCTGTCGCAGTAGCCCCCCGCAGGTCGTGGGCTCTCAGATCAGTCCTCCCTTACTGGTCAACCCGCAGGATTGGGGTGAAGGTGGCAGAGAATGCTCAACGGCGTGGGGACTACATGTCCCACAGTACCTCAGGAGTCCCACGCCACCACCGCCGGGGGTCTCGGTATTACGGCATTTATTTTCTGATGCCAGCTTTGCTGAACTCATCTTAAGGTACAGTTTAAGCATCTTAAGTTCTTAACTGCAAGGATAGCTTTCCTATGTGACCTTCCTGGGATACATGATTTTGTCGCATATTCTCACTTGAAAGGACTGGTGTGTGTGTTTTAAAAGATTTTATTTATTTACTCATGAGAGACAGAGAGAGAGAGAGAGAAGACAGACAGACAGACAGACAGACAGGCATAGGGAGAAGCAGGCTCCATGCAGGGACCCTGATGCGGGGGGACTGGATCCCAGGATCACCACCTGAGCCAGAGGCAGATGCTCAACCACTGAGCCACCCAGGTGCCCCTGGAAGGACAGTTTTTAATTCTTTGCCATTTGGGGTACCGCTGGTTCCATTTCACTTTAGTTTTGCACACTGTCACGTTGTCCATCCTGAGTTCTGTGGATGGTGATTTTGTTCAACAAGTATGTGAACAAATAATTATGATCTCCATTTTATATCTCCTCTCCCGGAGATTATAATAACATTTTCCCAGATGGTACAGAATCCTTTAAGTCCCAATTCCCAAACTTTGTACTACACCGAATAAAAATGATCATGATGGGAGTTCACTTTTCAAATGATGAACCACACTAATATAAGTGAATGCACTTCAGTAAACAAACAGGTTGATTCTATAGGCCCAACTACTATGCTACTTAATTTTGTATACTGTTTTTTCCAAATATACATAGAGAAACATGACAACCAAGTGTCCACCTAACTGAATGTTCGCATTGAATACACCATGTCACATCACCCAGATTGGGATACAGAACATTACCAGCACCCTAAATAATCTTCCCCTCCTAATCCCTACCCACTCCTTAGGCCAAAAGTAAACACTATCCTAACTTCTAACAACAATTTGTTTTGCTTCTTTTAAAACTGAACAATGAAATCATGCAGTATGTACTGGCTTGTTGGGCTTTTTTCACTCAACATGTTTGTAAGACATACCTCTATCGTTGTTGTAGTTCTAATTTGTTGTCATTGCTCTCTGGTATTTCAGGGTGTGATACTCATTCATTCCGCTGTTGCTGGGCATGTGGATAGTTTCCAGTATAGGGCTGTTATAAACAGTGCTATTACTTACATCTATACCTAGTACAAACATGTACACAATGCTAGGCTACAGGGCATGTTTTATGTTCAGCTTTAGTAGATATTGCCTATTTTCCCAAAGTTGTACTAATTTACTCTGCCTATATGGGTTTTTGTTCTTCATATCCTTGACAACACTTGGTATTATCTGTTTTGTAGTTCATGTCTTTATTTTGAATTAACTTGTCCATTATGACTCATGATAGTCATAATAAAAATTCACTTAACTAATCAGATGGCATTTTCATTAAAAAAAATTTTGTAACAGAGGCGCCTGGGTAGCTCAAGTCATGATCCCAGAGTCCTAAGATACAGCCCAGAGTCATGTCTGGGTCTCTGCTCAGCAGGGAGTCTGTTTCTCCCTCTCCCTTTGTCTCTCTCCCCCACTTGTGTGTGCACACGCGTGCGCTTTTTCTAATAAAAATTTTTTTAAAAGATTTGTAACAGGGCTCACTTGTGCAGCACATATGCTAACATATGCTAAAATTGGAATGATACAAAGATTAGCATGTTCCCTGCACAAGGGGGACATGCAAATTCATGAAGTATTCAATATTTTTTTAAAAAACGTTTGTAACAACAAATGAGAAAGGACTGCTGTATCTTTAAATGGATTAATAAATCAGTGCTTTTATTATAAGAGGCAAGCAAAATCTATTTTATGAGATCCTTATTTATTTTAAATATACATCTATAAATATACATCTATAAATTAGACAAAATATTCTATATCTGACATAAGGATTTCCATATTTTATATGAAAAACTTGCAGGGTCATGAATATAGTATAATTCTATGTTGGTAAAAATAAAACCCCTACGTGTGTGTATATATATATGAACAATGAGGAAGGATGCAAAAAAGCTTACTACTCTTCTTCACCTCAAGTGGAAAGATAATTTTAATTTTATACATTTTCCATATTCTGGTTATAACCATTTATTCCTTTTGAGTCTTAGATCAGCATCATCAACATCACCTAGGAGCTTGTTAGAAATCCATATCCTCAGACCCACCACAGAACTACAGAATCGGAACCTGTATTTTAATATTACCCCAGTGTTTCATGTGCACATTTAAGGCTAAGAAATACTATTGAAGTATTCAGTGTGCTATAAGGCATGATATTATCCTCAGCTGCCTTTTTTTATTAATTTACGTTTCTTTTGATTTGTAATGCTCAGCATAGTCATCTTAACAGTAGTCAGTTACTTCTTGTTAACCTTTGATGTCATTTTGAGAATCAAAGTGATGGGGCAAAGGCAAAAAAGAAAACTAAATTTCCTTACTACCTACAGCCTATTGTCCTTCAAACAGGCAGTGACCTTCCTCTAGAAACTCAGCTACCTGGATGTTAATACTTTGCGGAGGGCAAAAAGCAATCTTAGCCTGACCCCCAGGATCCTTAGAGTCTACTCTAACATAGAAAAATTTCTTTGGAAACTTCCGTTATCTCTACCTGCTCCAAGATACAAGTTGACAATCATCCTGTAAGCATTATCACTCATCTGAAGGGTCTCATGACTGAGTTTTTACTAAACAATAATAAATGATCTTTTCCTAACAAGAGCTAACCCCCTCAAGGTTGTGGAAACCTTGTTTCCAAAATTCCTTGGAGACTTAGGCTATCCCTGCCAACTTGAAATTATATAACCACCGCTTCTCACAACCCCAGTGCAGCTCTTCTGGCCCACAGGTCCTCTCCCAATGCTTTAATAAAACCACTTTTTGCACTGAAGAAATCTCAAGATTTGGCTGGGTAATCAAAAGGCAAGGACAGAGCAGAGGACCAAAGATTGAAGTTTAAGAAACTTGGAAAAGGAAGCAGTGATGAAAGTCTGGAAACACAGGAAAGTTTTAAATTATTAGGGAAGTGTGGGAAGAATTTCAAAGGAGAAACTGGCATCAAATACTCTGGAGGTGAAAATTAAGTATTCAGAAATGGCCATTAGATAACAATGGTTGGGGGGGCGGGTTGCAGAGAGCAGACTGCAGCAGGTTAATGGGCATAACAGAAGGAAGTAATAGTGGACCACTTTTTCTAATTAGCAAATGATGGTTTTAGTCAAGATCTGTGCATATTTGTAGAGGGAAAGCAGGGAGAGACTGTAGATGCTAGATAGAAATGGTGCAGTAGAGAATAGGCAAGGTCCTTGTGGGGAGGGGATATGGTAGGGGTAAGATGCAGAATTAAACTGAGGCCACAGAGGAGTCAGCCTTGGAAGAGACATGTGCATCTTCTCTTCTGAGAAAGGAAAGCTAATGAGATAAAGCCTCAAAACCAGTGAACCTCTGCTGGGCATACAGTCACCTGCAGAGCTTTAAAAATCCCAATGCCCAGGCACATCCAAAACTACATAAAATCTGTGAGCAGAGCAGCCCCGGTGGCTCAGTGGTTTAGCGCCGCCTTCAGTCCAGGGCATGATCCTGGAGACCCCGGGGACTCGATCCCATGTCAGGCTCCCTGCGTGGAGCCTGCTCCTCCCTCTGCCTGTGTCTCTGCCTCTCTCTCTCTCTCTGTGTCTCATGAATAAATAAAATCCTTAAAAAAAAAAAATCTGTGAGCAGTGGCATACAGAGATCAGTATTTTTAAAACTCTCTCGATGATTATATATTGTGCAGCCTTGTTGAAAATCACTTCCCTCAACAAAGCTATTAAGAGGAAGAACAATGAGGGAGTTCCCACCTAATGGCCTTTATCTTCTCTTATAGTTGGTAAGCAAACTGCAGTCCAGATGGGATGAGCTCTAAGAACTAGCCCTTTAGTTCCTGCATTCACAGAATGAAAACAGGAGTTAGAAGTAATGAAGCATAATGGCCCCACTGAAAAGGAAAAAATACTTAAAAACTTTGTGTGGAAACAACTTTCCTGAATTTTCTTATGTTAATATGGAACTGCTGCTAAATATGCTGAGACACAGAATTAATAAGAATGAGCAAGGACAGTGTTACAGAGAACACCTCTTGCAAATAAAAAATAACCAAGGACTTAGCCACCTACTCTTGATTTTTAGATAATAGTTGGAATTTATCACTAAGTTCTAGTCAAGTGGGTTTTTTCCTTAATACATATTCTACAATGACATAAATGAAATTTTTGCCAGTAATAACTGGAGTATGTTGTCACTCTATGCTTGGGGCATATACAGCTTTGTATATTACGTAAGTTTACCTTAACCCAGTTATTTTTACACGCCTTGCTTTCCTTAACAGGTTCACTAACAGCCAGAAGGATTCATAATGATCCCTAGGCCATCTGCTTTGCGGTTGTACCAAGGAACTGTCATAGAAAGAAGATACCTGCTCAAAAACACTAATAGATCAGTCTTGAGAATCCAGATCTTTTGATGCGGTAAACTTATTGGTAGGCAAGATACTCCTTTCCTTTTAATAGAAGATTCAAAGATGTTTAAAAATTTTTTTTATTTTGAAAATAAAATTGATTCATAAAGTGCAAGTTAGATGTGTCCAGTGCTCTATGTCCATCTTCGACAAACTGTTGGAAACAGAAAAGAGAAAACAATCAAATACATAATCGTTAACTTCAAATTATTCTATTGCGGAGTTAAGCTATGAACCATAAGCTATTATCCATAGTCACTAGATGCAAGGTCCCTAACTTCCAGGCCACTGGAACCAGGCTGCCAACAACGAAAGAATTCAGACTGGAGATCACAAAACATGAATGCGAAGATGTACACTATCTACCAGGGATATCATCAAAAAGAATGATAAAAAAAAAAAAAAGAATGATAAGGGGGTAGAGGGTGGCAGGAATACCTCCACCTTTCTTGCTTTCCTTCTTTCCAGTATTTTCCTTTTTGAAGTTTAATGTCAAGGTGCAACAATGCTGCACGTGGTAAGACATTCCCGCTACAGGCACGCACTGAACTGAACTAGGATACCAGTGCAAGTCCTGGGGAAAACAAAACCTCCTCTTTCTGGTGTCTTGGGGGGAAAGTTACCTCCTATGCGGCATCCACAGGCGCTCCCGCCCCCCACGTCTCCCCTTAGTCCCCGCACCGTAACTACTGCTCACCGACTCTCCCAAACGAGCAAGGCGCTGCAGGCGGCGAGCGTGAGGCTCGCCCGGCTCCCGCCCGAGCCCCGCCGGAGCCCCAGCGTGGACGAGGCGAGGCGGGCGCGCGGGGGCCGACAGCGCGGGGTCTCAGGCCAGGTCCAGCTTCTTCTGAGTCGTCGCCAGCTTGTCCTGCAGCCTCCGCTTCCTCCAGTCCAGGTAGCGCCTCCGCAGCCGGTTCGCCTGCCAGCCCACGAGCACCCCGGACGCGAAGGCCACCAGCACAGACAGCTGCAGCGTCCTCTCGGACACGTCCGCCATGGCAGCCGGCGGCGTGCAGCGCGACCTACGGCGCGGCGGCGGGGTCAAAAGGCGTCCCGCGTTCCCGGGCGGAGCGGCGCGGAGCGGCGCGGCGCGGTGCGCATGCGCGCGGCTCGTCCGGCGGCGCGCCGGCTCCAAGCCCTCGGCTCCGTGCGGCTCACCTGCTCTCGCTCACCTGCTCTCGGAGGCTGGCCGCCCGCTGGGCGGGAGCCGCGGGCGTGATGATCGTTCGGCGTTGGTCTTGCCTCGTTAGCCAGCTTTGATGGTGCGCCTTTCCGAGCTCCGTGTGAGCTCCGCGCCTCTTCGTGCTTTCTCAGCGGGAGACTGCGAGCCGCAGGTGTGACTCTCTATTTACTGGTAACCCAGTTAAAAATAAACAACAGGAAAAGTACTTTTCATGATATATCTTGTTCAGCCCAGTAGATACAGGATGTTATCATTTCAACACGCAATCTTTTTTTTTTTTTTTTTTTTTTTTTATGATAGGCACACAGTGAGAGAGAGAGAGGCAGAGACACACACAGAGGGAGAAGCAGGCTCCATGCACCGGGAGCCCGACGTGGGATTCGATCCCGGGTCTCCAGGATCGCGCCCGGGGCCAAAGGCAGGCGCCAAACCGCTGCGCCACCCAGGGATCCCTCAACACGTAATCAATATAAAAATGAGATTTTTAAAAAATTCTCTTTTTTTAAAAAAAAAATACCGAGTCTTTGAAATCTGGTGATTTTTATGACGACAGAATATCGCCGTGTGAACACTAATTTTCCGTGGAGATACTAGATTGGTAACTAGATTTCATAAAAGTCCGTTGAAGAATTAGATTCATATACCCAGATTGTTCCAAAGACACATAAAGATTTCTCCAATAACTGAGTCGAGTTTCAGTTTTAAATTTGAATTCATTCAATTTTATTTTTTATTTTTCAGGGTTTTATTGCAAACCAAAGTTGGTTTATAAATTCATTAAAGTTTTAAAAGAAGTTCAAAATTCACTTCTTCATCACACTGGTTACATGTGGGGCCTGTGAATACAATAGTGGACAGCGAAGTCTAGAGGGCAGACCTAACACTGGGTCAGAATGGTTGGGTTGGTGAAAAATTCTAGTGATGGAATCATTATGGTGGACAGACCCTGACGTGGCCCCCAATGATTTCCACTTCCCAATGTTGATGATTTTGTGTCATTTCTCCTAATCAAGTGTGGGCTTAACCCGTCACCCACTTCTAACTAATAAAGGTGCTGGGATGTCCCTCCTGGAATTCCTTTATGGTTGTTTTTGTTTGTTTGTTTTGTTTTGTTTTGTTTTTTTTAGTTTTTAGTTTTATTTGTTTATTTGACAGAGAAAGAAAGAAAGCACAAGCAAGAGGAGGGGCAGAGGGAAAGGGAGAAGCAGGCTCTCTGTTGAGCTGGGATGCGGGGATTGATCCAGGACTCTGGGAGCAGGCCCTGAGTTGAGGCAGATGCTTAACCGCCTGAGCCACTCAGGCGCCCCTCCTTTTTGCTATATAACTTCTTTTCAACAGACTGATGACTCTCCTTGTGGGCTTGATGAAGTGAATGGACGTGTTGAAGGAGCTCATGTAGTTCAGGACTGCAGCTGGCCTCTAGAAACAGCAGGATGCCTCCAGCCAATAGCTAGCAAAAAGCTGGAGCCTTCAGATCTACAGCCCAAGGAAATTAACTGTCTGCAACCTGAATAAACTTGGAAACAAGAATCTTCCCCAGTTCACCCTCCAAGTAAGATCACACGCAACCTGGCTGATGCCTTGATTGTAGCCTTGTAAGAACCTAACAGAAGACCATGTGCCTGGACTCCTAACCCATAGAAAGTTGATATTATACATGTGCATTGTTTTAAGTCACTACATTTGTGGTGATTTGTTATCACAGCAATAGAAAACTGCTATAGTCAGGAAAGGAAAACCATCATATGGAGCCTGAACTCCTTTATTTGGGGCCTGACTGACCTCACCTTTCTATTGATATAAGCAAATGGATTTTCATACTTGAGGCAGAACACATCTTGGCAAAGAGATGATAAGGACAGTCTTGGGTCCAGTGTGAATTCACATCTGCTATGCATTATGTTCATTTATTTGGCAAATATTTATTAAATGCTGCAGTAGGCATTGGGAATGTAGAAGTGAATATATATCTGCCCTCAGCTTGGTGCAGAGTGAAAGACGGAAAAACAATTATGACACATTCTGATGAATTGGAGTATTTAGTTGAGTCTGTAGCTTAAACTTAAAAAAAGAAGAAAAGCCTCAGAAACGCTCTTTTTTATAGTCCATCCAATCTATCAACCAAATCTTTTGGTTGTATTTTCAAAATATGACCAGAATTAAAGCACTTCTCACCTCTACTCACTTGACTGCTACCCCTGGTTCCAAGCTGCCATCATCTCCTACCTAAGTCACTGCAAACCCTTCAGGTTTCTGGGCTTCTGTGGATTATCTCACTCTTCTGCTCAAACCATGCCGTGGCCATGGCCCCAGCAGTGGTCTGCAGAGCTCTGCATGATGTGTTCCTCTCTATTCCTTACCTCTCTCAGCGATGTGCTCATTGTTTCTTATGCTTACCAGGCCTGCTGCTACCTGAGAACATTTGCATGTGCTGGGGTGCATGGGTGGCTCAGGAGGTTGGATGTCTGGCTCTTGATTTCAACTCAAGTCATGATCTCAGGGTCCTGGAATCAAGCCTCACATCGGGCTCCCTGCTCAGCTTGGAGTCTACTTAAGGAATTTCTCTGTCTCAAATAAATAAATAAATCTTAAAAAAAAAAAAATTTGCATGTGGGGTCCCCCTGCCTGGCATACTCTTCTCCCAGGTGCCCATATAACTAACTTCCTCACCCCTTTTAGGTTCTTGTTAACTGCCACCTTCTCAACAAGGCCTACATGACTATTTAAAAATCACAAATGAACCAACCCCCACCCTCTGGCACTCCTGATCTTTTCCCTGCTCTATTCTCCTCCACAGTATTTATAGCCTTCCACCTACTGTAAGATTTATAGTATTTATTACACTTATTGCTTATTGCTTGTCCCCTGCTACAATGTAAGCTACTCAAGGGCAGGGATTTTTGTCTCAGTTGTATAATGGTGGATCCCAAGTGCCTGTAATTGAGACTGGCACATAACACACAGTCAGTAAAATTTGTGGTTGATGACAGCAAGGAGTGGTCAGGGAAGTCTTATGGGTATGTGGCTGAACTCAATCTTGAAAGCTAAGTAGGATGATCAGAAGAAATGAAATTTCCCTGGATCTCAGTTTTCTCATTTGCAAAATAAAGTTTAGTATGATTCAGTAGCTCTAAGACATTTTTATTATGTTTTATTTTATTCATTACTATTTTTTAAGTAGGCTCCACACCTAGCATGCAGCCCGATCTGGAACTCGTTCCCACCCTCTGAGATATTGACCTGAGTTGATATTGGGAGTCAGACACTTAACTGACTGAGTTACCCAGGTGCCCCGACAAGATATTTCACATCTAGTTCTGGCAGCCGGAACTTGTCCATTAGGGTCATTGGTGTTGCAAATTTGAAACTCGCTTAGAATTCTTACCTCATCCTTAGAGGCCTTTGGGCTAAAAATAAACCAGTGCACATGTACACTCTATCAAGCCTTGAATATGGGAAAAGCTTCGGTGAATAGAGCTTGCAGAGACAATAGAAATGCCCTTTTTCTTTAGCAGGAGGAAACTCTGGCCAGGGGGAAGAGCATTGCTTCTGGGAAGGGGCAGAGGTATAATCATTTTTAAATATTTTATTTATTTATTTATTTATTTATTTATTTATTTATTTATTTATTTATTTATTTATTATTTGACACAGAGAGAGCGAGCACAAACAGGCAGAGCAGCAGGCAGAGGGAGAAGGAGAGAAGCAGGCTCCCCACTGAGCAGAGAGTCAGATGCAGGAGCTCCAACCAGGACCTTGTGATCATGACCTGAGCCAAAGGCAGACACTTACCAACTGAACCACCCAGGTGCCCCAGGGGTGTAAGATTTTAAATCCCTCTTAAAGTCAGTGTGTCCCTGGCTTGAGACTGTAATTTTGCATACAGTGCATTATTTTAATGGGACATTTAGTAGTTGTAGTTGATAATGGTCAACCAGCTTTGAGGTGATGATTAAATTTGGATTAACAGGCTGAATAGTCAAGTGTAATGAGTTAATTGATTATGAGCATCTTCTGAATGATACATTAACTGCCATTGTTGTGTTTGCCATTTGAAGGACTTGCTGAGGGGAAGATTTTGCCATTTACAGTATTAGACCTTATTGCTTATGAATTCATTTAAAGTGTATAAATGGAACTCTCCTCTGCAACTGCAGGACCTGAAGCAATAAAGCAATCATTTTATACTCTAAAGCCTTCAGAAAAGTAAAACTTTGCCGTCATTAACGTGGAGCATTCATTCCCTTAGGTCCTTGAATTCTGGCCCAGAACTCTGGTTGGGTCTGTTCCCCTCAGCCACAAGCTCACAGCCCTGTGTCCCGGGAGTTTTTAACTGCCAGACCCTTTGTTTTCCGTTCTCTTCCCCTGAGTTTTTGGAAGTGGGAAGAAAAATTCTTGTGTGGTTGTGCTGAACTTACTCACCTGCCTCCACCAGCACACACTCTAAGAGGCAAGCAAAGTAAACGTGCCTGGTTGTATGACTTCCAAGTAAGAATCATTTCCTCCCTGGTACATAGGCAAGAATGGAAGTGATACCATGGGGAAAGGTGAGCCTTGACCCTTCTCTTTGGTAGAAGCTGTAATGTACTTCTGCAAGTCTGCCTCTCCAGTCTGTAGTTCTGGAGACATGCACAAAAGAATGGCCTCCCAAAATTCTTTCAGAAAAAAATGGGAAAATCCTAATAACACACCAACCTGTCTCCTCCTAATTCTGAGGTAAGTGGTTATCTATAATTCACTCATTGTTCCAATAAGTATTTTCTGAGTGAGTATTGTGTTTGGGATATTTAGAGCTACATATTCCATGCTGAGCCAATCTCAAAGATCTCCTGTCTAGGA